GTGGACTTGCTGCTGAGTAGAAATAGCCCCATGAGTGTCTACAACCGTTCCTCTGTGGGTGTTTGACCGATGAAAGTCAACAAGGCATGCCTACTCGCAGCAATGCTTGAATGCCTTCTACGGCACTATGGTAGTTAGCCTACTATACTACCGTGAGTTCCGGAAGACGATGGTGCGGAACGGATTTAAGATTAATCCTTACGACCCATTTGTAGCCAACAGAATGGTGTACGGCAAGCAACAAACAGCCTGCTGGCATGTAGACGACTGTATGCTTAGCCACAAGGACTCTAAGGTTAACGACCAGCTGTTCCAAGTGCTTCGTGATGATTACGAAAGCATATTCGAGGTCGGCACTTGAGAGATGACGGTGAGCCGAGGAAAGGTCCACACGTATCTTGGCATGACCATAGACTTCACGACGAAGGGTCAATGCAACGTATCATATCGATGTACAAGTACGTTGATGAAATCCTGGAAGCCTTCGAGAAGGCATCGCCAGAGGAAGGGGGTACGAAAACTAGAAGTAGTGCAGCCCCGAAAGACCTATTCACAGTAGACGAATCCTGCAAGAAGCTCCCAACGAGCAAGGCAGACACCTTTCACAGCCTGGTGGCTAAGGTGTTATTCGCTACGAAGAGAGCCCGACCAGACACAGGTACGGCGATATCGTTCCTCACGACTAGAGTCAAGGAACCAGATAGGCACGATTGGGATAAACTAGTCCACCTCATGCAGTACATTAGATGTACTAGAAAACTACCATTAGTTCTCAAAGCCGACGGAAGTGGCATATTGAAATGGTATGTTGATGGTTCTTTCGCAGTCCATCCAAACATGAGGGGTCATACCGGAGGTGGTTTGACCATGGGCACCGGTTACCCATTATCGACTTCGACGAAACAGAAGTTGAACACGAGAAGCTCAACTGAGAGTGAACTCGTAGCAGTTGATGACCTGATGCCATCGATCCTTTGGACGAGGCAGTTCCTTCGGGAGCAAGGCTATGTAGTTAAAGAAACTATAGTCTATCAGGACAACAAGAGTGCCATCCTTCTAGAGAAGAACGGCAAAGCTTCTAGTAGTAAACGAACGAAGCACATCAACATTAGGTACTTCTTTGTGAGCGACAGAGTCGCAAAGAAGGAGATCAGTGTGGACTGGTGTCCAACTGATGATATGGTTGCGGACTTCTGGACGAAGCCGAACCAAGGTCGACTGTTCAAACAGAACGTGGACAAGTTGATGGGTGTTGTGGAACACTCAGAGCCAGGGCACTCAGAAGGAGGGTCACGGTCGGACAAGAAGGTCCGTTCAAAGAAGGAGCGCTAAGCGGAGTAAGTAAGTAAGCATGGTCGACGACTAGGACAAGCTCGACGACCACAGGAGTGTGTTGGGGATTCGCGATTAGGGATTCAACCTGTACCTCTGTACTAGAATTTGATGCCAGTAGCAAAAGCTGGTAACCCACCCACTTTTTCAGTAGTATCTCAATAGACAACAGTAACAACTAAGAGAGCTTAGAGCAACTAACACTGGTTGCTTGAACCAAACTTCCATTGCCATCTTTCACCATGGGTGGATTCTTCACACCATCACAGTAGTCCTTGTAATGTTGATTTACCTGCTTGTTGACTGAGCCAAGGTAGGCATACTGCCCCATTCCCAAGCAAGGGAGGATGTTATTGACCCAAATGTCCTTTGCTTCCCACAAGGAGTGTGGCGACAACTTCTGCTTCTTACCAGTGGTCTCACGGGTGGAAGTCATGGTGCATAACTGTCGTTTGAGCTTGGTGTTGATAAGACGGACCAAAGTAAATGGTTCAGGAGAGAGCGGATGCTAAGCTGAGGGCAGTGAGCCAGAAGGGAGCCAAGGGTTTTGGTTGGGCGTCAGGGTCAATGCAGTATTCTGCCAACCCAGCAGAGCTGTTGGTCCCGGTATCCAATGATCGGATCGGCATTGGACCGTCCATTGGTTGGAGCTCCCGCAATGACTCGTCACTCCAAAGACCGAGGATGGGGTGATCTTGCTATCATAGCTTGGATGCTGAAAATGAAGGTCCTATCACCGCTATAGTGCCGAAGCACTCACTGGCGATTCATCGAGCCCTGGACTCATCGCATGCTGGACCACTTGAGGCCCCTCTTCAATCCTCTATCGGGCTGGGTCTGCCTCTTCGCAAGTTGCACACATGCTCTGTCGATGATAAAACCAACTCTTATCACGGTGCGGGCCTTTGTGAGGACTCGGCTCGGCTCGTCGCTTGCTGGACCGATTGAGCAAGTTACGGGTTTGTCCATGCGACCTCTTACGACCATAGTGGCTGAGATTGCGTACCGTGCACATGCAGTCTCTGTGGACCTGGACTTTTTGGCAGGGGGGAGAGATCGCAATCCCAGGTTGGGTGATGATGGCTTGGCTGAGATCTAAAGATGTTCAAGTTTCTGTAACGGTATCACACCCAATACTACTTCCGCCCATCACACATTACACTACTGCTAGCTACGGTTGGTTTCATTTATAATAAAAACAAAATAGGCAACAAACTTAAAAATTCTTTAAAAGATGCATGTCCGTACCAATGCTGCGAAACCAGGAGGTCTGCTGATCTTCCGAAGCAAGCGACAATATGCATCATGTTACACTTGCTATTCATCAGCATCATCGTTGTCATCATCGCGTTGAATGAAGCCGGAACGTCACCGGGACTCTTAAAAATTTCTTTGACATAATATATGCGAGGCTAGCTACGGGTAGCGAAGAGGCATCTTGAAGCAGCATTTTCTTACCTGGTAATCTCCAATCTCCAACCACACATCATTGCAGGCTACATGTACTCGAATAGGCTACAGGTAGAAAAAGACTACGATCTGTACTGTGAGCACCAAAGGAAGAAAGAGCATTCGAGACGTTTCATTAGACTAATTGTAGTCTACAGTCTACAGTGATACCGGTACGTAGAGCTTACCTAGGAAGTTGAGTCTTAAATCAGAGTGAGCCATTCTACTCGTGCATTAAAAAACACCGCCAAATAGACTACTCTATAAATCCGCAAGACTTTTCTAGATTAGACTATGTCTACTTTTCCACTTTCGACCACCTATTTTAAAAGTCACTCCGCGACTCTGCTACATGAGCTTCATAGTCGTACCGTACGTACGTGACCTCGTACGTGTATATGTAGTCATTTATTTCATGTTAGCACCAGTTCACCTCACATATAGCTAGCTATCCAGCAAGTCCACTATCGGCGTTAATCCTCATCGGCAGTGTTCTATAATGGCCATCCACGCCAGTCAAGCAGTCTTCGCCAATGCCAGGGCACCAGTCTTCTCTGGTACCATCAACCAATCTTCCCTTGGTTTGCCCCCGCCCACCAGCTTTCCCATCAATTTTCCAATATGACCCTGGTCCCCAATGGCTTCACCGTCCCTCCAGACAATTTTGGACTCATAATTTGGATTTCTTTCCGCATTATCCTCCTGAAGCACTAGACAACCATGCAATACTTCCCAACATATCATCACCATGAAATTCTTTGGCCCCGCCCTTCTTTTAGAGTTTTGGTCTTTCCAGTGTCCAAGCCACAGATGTCTCCTTCACATTTCCAAAGGCCCAATCTAATCAGCTTGTGTCTGGCTTCTGTGCCATGGGAGCTTCTATGGTTTCAGCAACCTGCAATTATCCAAACATGTCGTACACACTCATCCAAGATACCTTTGGCAATGGCGTACAGGCCTTCGCAGACCGAGACAACCAGTACGGTAGAGTCAGTGGTGAAGCTATGTGTGAGGGTGGACGTTACTTGCAACCACTAGAGTACAAGGTGAGTGTGTGTAAGGGTGTGAAGATCATTGAAGCATATGTTTCAAGGCACAGCGTATATAGAACGAAAGGAAATTCTCATGCCTCAACGTATCTTCTTTTTACCATACAAATAGCACGCGAGACGTGGGAGTAAGATTGTCCTGAAGGCAACTCCCAAGGCTGGCAAGCAGGTTACCGTCTGTGCCTTTTTAAAGGTCGCCCACCGGGGCGTAGGATGGGATGACACTCTGCTTCAAAGCGGTTTTTCCGAGTCAGGAGATTTCAGAATTGTCTATGAAACTGGAGGTATAATATTAATGAGCTACTGCAAGGTCATTACCGGAGATGAAGTTGCTGCTCCTCTTCCAGAGAGTGTTTGCGCCAGTGGCACACTTGCAACCAATGGGCACTTCTATGAGGTGGCTCAGTACGTAAGGGGAACCATGACTTGGCACGAGGCCAAGGCCACGGCAGAAGCAAAGACTCATTGTGGCAAGAGTGGCCACTTGGTCACCATTACTTCCAAGGGTGAGAGTGACCACGTGAACGGACTAATTTCCGCAGAGACTTGTCCACGCGAAGAACGAGCTATTCTTCAGACTTGGATTGGCTTGACAGATGCTGAAGAATATGGCTACAAGGAAGGCACAATTGGGTGGGTCACCGGTGAGCCCTTCGAGTTTGAAAACTGGTGCCCCGGTGAACCAAACGCTTCTGGCCGCTCCCATGACTTTGCAGAAATCAATTTTTCCACGAGCTATGGTGCATGCTGGGACGATGCCGCAGGTCAAGAAAATGTTGGGGACTCCAATGATAAGTATGTGATTGAGTATCCTTGCGAGCCAGAAGCACCGGATGGCGGAGATGACAAAAGTGGCATGACAGACATAGCGTACACCAAGGGGGATCCACATTTCAAAACGTTTGGAGGAGAGCTGTATGACTTTCACGGAGAGTGTGATCTTGTCTTGCTTCACAACCCCGACTTTGCCAATGGTTTGGGCATGGACATCCACATTCGTACAAAGATGGAGTCCTTCTGGAGCTCCATTGAGTCCGCTGCCATCAAGATTGGAGACGAGATCATGGAAATTGCCGCTGACCCCAAGGCCAAGGAATGGCTTTGGTTCAATGGGAAGGAGGTAACTTCTGACTTGCCAGCTGGAACGTGGGGAAGGCAACAGTTAGGTGGATTCTTGGTTCGCTACAAGGAGTCTACAGTGCGAGCAGGCCTCATCCGAGACGCGGATATCTACTTTGTAGGATCAAAGGAAAAATTGATCTTCAAGGCCTTCAAGAGCTTCATTCGCATTGATGTCGACTGGAAACACTCTGAGAACTACAAGAATGCTGTAGGATTGTTGGGATCCTATTCGCACCAAGGAGAGCGCTTGGGTCGTGATGGCCAATTTATCAAAGATACGAACACCTTTGGGCTGGACTGGCAAGTGATTCCCGAAACGGATGGATCTCTCTTCCATTCGTATGAGGGCGCTGTTGTGAACCAGAAGTGTATCATGCCTGCTTCGTATGAAGGGTCAACTGCTCTTCGTGGCCGCCGTTTGGGCACTTCGTCTGTGGACGAAGGTGTGGCGGAGAAGGCTTGCAACCATTTGTTGGACCCTGATGAGAAGAAGGCGTGTGTCTTTGATGTGGTTGCCACTCAAGATTTGAGCCTGGCCAGCACCTGGTAATGCGAAGCAATGAGGATGGATGTGTTATGAAGAACAACAAACGAAATTGTAAATAGACAGGACTAGACTTTTTGGCCAGACTGAATAAACCACTTGCAAGAAACCTCATTATGTCCTGGCTCTTGTGGGGTATCCCGCTGCATCGAATGATTTGATTCGATTCCATATCCAGGGTCCCTTTCCGGTACAAGAACTCCCGTAGAACTCCCGCTGTCAACGGTAGCAGATGGTGACTGGTCTGGGTCGCTGTCTCCTCTTTGCTAGCAAGCAAAGTGGTCTGATCCTTACTCGGTGGTGCTTGGCTACAGAAGTACTTGGCTTAGCATTGCTATTCTTCGGGCCCGCCACCTTTGCATCTGTGGCTCTCTGGTCTCCCTGCTGACGCAATAGATGTAATGAGCTTGGTACCATGGTTCCCCGGATCTGGGATGCCGAGGTTCACATGCCCTGTTCCGCTAATCTTGACCCCCTTATTACTCCCCAAAACGTCCCAATTTCTTCCTTTCTCCCCCCCCCAATGACCCCCTACCGTACTCTCCTGTGTTTCGCCACCACGATGCCCTGTTTGCCAAGCGTGGCCCCCCGGATCCTTTTTATCCATCTATTCAGTTTTTTTTTGATGGCACAGTCATACAGACACTATCTCCGATTGCCTTGCCCAATTGACTTGGGTGTCTTTGCATTGATGTACCACTATATAACTATAGCCCAATAGAAGGTACGACTATACCGGCACTGCCACTGATTCTGCACTCACATCGTTCGAGCGCAAGCTATCATTAGACTAGAAGATAAGATGAATGATAATCAACCTGCTCTAGATGATGATGACGGAAATGGCAATCCCGCGCCGATACCCCACAATGACCATGGCAATAACTCGGATTCTAGTCGAATGGAATTAGACCAGCAAGAACGACGACGAGCCCTGGATCTGAAAGAGGCAGTGGAAGCTTGCTCCGATCTGGATAATCTGTCCGATTTTTGGTATGCTCAGGTCGCCATTGTCGACAAGGACTTGAGTTTGGAAGAGTCACTGGAGAGGATCCATGATCTGCAAACGTTTCGACGGGAACACGATATTCTCGAGAACCTGGAAGATGCCAAGAAGAGCCTCTTCTTGTTCAATCAGACTCACCGTGGCCATATTATGCATTTCGGCTACAGCGATCCACATCAGAGCTATCTGGTTACCTTTGATTTGATCAAGTTTGACACCCATGCCCTAAGATTACGGAGAGGGATCAAAAACTTGGCATCAGGAAGCTACTACCTGCACCATACATTCAGTCCAGACTTTGCAGCCATCCGACAGGGAGTCATTTTTGTTGTGGAGTGCGGGGGGTATATCTGGAAAGCTCCCGGCATGTTGACGGCTCATCTCCTTCACAATGGCGGCATCCCGGATGCCCATGCCATTTATCCATTTTACTGGAAGAGCTTCAAAGTTTGTAATGCGGGAGTTTTGGTCAACATTTTAGTATCCACGTTCCGGCGTATTCTACCAAATCGACTCTCTGCCAAGTTTGAGCTGGGATGTCAGACAGACATACGCCTGGATCAAATCTGCTTGGTCCCCGATGAAGAAGAGGCATTAAAACGTCTCGATTATAACATGGCGGAGGCTCTTCAGATGAGGTACCAAAATGAAGCCACTTTTTGCCTGGAGTAGTCTAAGTGAGCACGTCACTTCTATTCCGCATGGACATTGCTTTGCTACAGAAAACATGAATCACCTGGTATGCGACACATCCAGTGATCTTAGTGGTACGGAAACCCAACTACAGGATGAATTATTCAAGGAGCACGAGTGACAACAGACTTCTGTACCTCAGTCCGCATCCAAGAAGACCAGCTACAGCAGTTCACTTATCAATGGCAACCATTCAGCTTGGATCGAACAGACTTTGTGGCCGTCACCATGTTCTGTAGGGCCGCAATGGTTTCGGGCCATCGGGGTTGACCGTCAACTGATCGGCCGGCAGGGTCGTCAGAAAGCTTTCTATTTTGTCTTGAATCAAAAGCCGTGGGAGGGACCGCGGGCGAATGAATGAATGTCGGAAATGCCAGGACCCAAACCCTTGGTGTAGCCCAACCGACTGGTAGAAAGCACGAAGGGTGGCATCGTTGCTGCGGGGATTTTCAATCGAGTTGACGTCCGTGTCCATGCGATCAGTGGCTTCCATGCAATCGGAAAATTCACAGTAGCACCTGGGGTTACAGTAAGAAGCAACGTCACAGCAAAACAAATTGCATCAGCGAAAGAAACAAGATGAAAACAAGAAACATGCACTCACTTCGCATACATGTGGTTATGAATCTGAGTGATACTGGCAGCACCGCTGGTGGAAAGATGACAGGCATCCACCGCCCACTCGAGATACTCTTCCTGGCGAGCATTTCGCATAGGCATGCCCTAACGCAACGCTGGCTCGTCCACTTGAATCACGCTTTCTCCAGATCAAAAATTTCCTCTCTCAGGGCCAAGGCAATTTTGCAAGGCTTGCTGTATCCGAGACAGATCAGCTCGAGGAAACGACCAGTTCAGAATCGTAATGGGGCCAGTCAGCATCCCCATGACGGGCTTGCCAGTCAACGATTGCGCCACTAGATATTCCCGAACTGTCATTGGGGGGGGCGGGAAATGTCGGCCCAAAAGATCGGAGGACGAACGCACCGCGAGCCAAACGATTGCACCCAGTCATTGGTGGAAAACACCATACCATCCATTTGCTGAGCGAAGAATTCGACCATGACCGTACGTTCCGGTTCTCCGTGCACCACAATAAATGTCCAAATCCAGCCCCTCTTGAATGCCAATCAGAAGGGCAATCTGTTGATCAAATGGCCTTTTCGTATTCAGACTGAGTAATCGTGCCCTTTTTGAGCTTGTATCGGATTCTGCGAATTTCGGCGCGGTTTGGGGGAAAGAACCAATCGTTGTGGTGGGCAGCACGGGCAGTCTCTTCAGCTTCTGGGCACGACGAGCTTCACGGGGCGACAATAATCGTTCGGCGTCAGCTGGTTCAGGCGATCCAAAACTGTGGCGTTCCTTTTGTAGCCTTGGAGTAGGCCTCCCAATCCGCTGCTACGGTACAGTGCTCATGAGCTTCGGGTTATCTCCACGAAAATACGCCGCCAAGGTTTGGACTTCGGCCAATTTTTCCTTGCCAAACGTTAACACACGACCGGCGGGATGCTTTTGCAATGCTTCCTCGCACTCCATGGTCCGTGGCACATACTGAAGAGACGCGGCGGGCTGGATGCAAACATCGGACAGGCCAAGCCGAATCAGTTCCTGCCAGATTTGTTCGACTTTTTCGGGGAGCATCTTCCAGATACTTCGGCTGTAGATCAACCCGGCGCCGAGCGTCTTGGTCTTTGGGAAGCCTGCAGCCTTCAAAAGCTGCAAGTTGTCGCCACGGATAAAATCCAACGAAACCTTGGAGATCTCCTTCAGACCCATCCGCCACTTCCAGCTCTTTTCCGAGCCAATGCCCTCAAAGTAAGTGACCATGACAATGCTGACGCCAACTGCTCCGGTCAGAATGCTGGGATACGCTTGCTGGAACAACGACAAAAGCTTATCCTCTGCCAGGACAAAGGCCGGCTCGTGGATCTGCACTTTCTTGACTCCTAAGGTCGCAATCTTACGCATCAAACCTAGATTACAAGAGGAAGAAACATCCACTCAGTGGCAACAGGACCAAGGCGAAACTCGTCTACATGACGATTCCTTCTTGTTTCTGGATCTCACCTGGTACAGAGGCAGGATCTTCGTCAACAGGTTGAAGCGGGAAATGTCTTCTTGTCCAGTGGCACCATATGTGCAGAAACGAACAAAGGTGACGGGTCCGAGCACGACTGCTGTGGCCTGGTCCCCCCCCCCCACCGCACCCAGGCCGCGTTTGACGGCGGCCAAGTACGACGAAAAGTCGGACTTGGAGAGGGCGCAGTCGACCTCTGGCACAATAGTGGTAGTTGGCGTCAAACCGGTTGCGCCATCCCAACCACGAGTGATTGCGAACATCCGATCCACCCCCGGCTTCATGTGCGCAAAGCGCTCGGGGACTGTCGGTGCAACATAATATACTGTCAGCTTCTAGCAAGAGGCTGGAGCAGAACCAAGAAAAGATCTCGAGACAACAAGAATGACTTGCTAACTCCAAGCCGCTCGGCCCACTGCAAGACAAGATCTTTCATGACATGGTCGCCGACGGTGATGGACTCAATGCGATTGTCCAACTGAAGCTTCCACCAAGATCCTGCAGGTTGTTGGCCACCTTCAGAAGTTCCTCTTTCGGAATGGCACCCTTCCAGTACTTCTCCATGGCAAACTTGAGCTCCCGGTTGGGCCCATGCATCCATGGGCTCTAGCCCACTGCAAAACACTGAAGTGTCCACAAGAAGCAGCCATAGCGTGAACAGCCCTCTTCATGGGCATATTGTAGGATTTCCAAATAGCCTCCTTCGGCAACAGCAGCACATGTTGCTACACGCCAGGGACAACCGTTCATGGGCATACTCCAGTACGAGAAGATGGCCATACTTGGATGCCATGGCACAGGTTGTTGCATCCCAAGAAATGCCACAGGAAATCAAGAAAACGAGAACATCCACTTGCCCACCGGCAGTGGCCATTGCACATGCCTCTTCATTGAATGAACAACCATTGCCATGGGCCCATGAGAGGCAGGTTACATGGCCACCTTGCACGCCAAAGACCGGTGGGGTGCTTGGCTGGTAAACGTGTACCTGGGAGAGCCCAAGGAAGATGAAAGTCCAATCCGTTATAGTTATCAAAAGGTGCCGAAGCAACACTGGCGATTCATCTTTTTGAGCACTGGACTCATCGCTTGCTGGCTTGAGGCACCAATTCAATCCTCCTCTATCTAGCTAGGTAGCTCTCTCCGCAAGTTGGACAAATATTCTGTGGATACAAGCGCTTACCATGGTGCCAGACTTAGTGAGATACCGACTTGGCGCTTGCTGGACCACTTGAGCGCATGTTACGGGCCTGTCGATCCGACCTCTGCTGCGGGCCTTCGCGAATGATGAATCATGATTATAGTGGCTGGGGGGGATTACCTGCGTCTGCCATCTGCCGTCTCTGTAGGCCAGGACTTGTTGACAGACAGAAGAGATCACAACCCCAGAACGGGATACTCGGGATCAGTTTTCTGTAACGATACTACCGCCGATGGAGAAGGTCGGCGGAGAAGCACTCCATGTTCGCACCGCTAGCTATGGGTTCCCGTTTATTAAAAAATCCACAACAAGAGTTAAACTTTCTTCAAAAGATGATGCTACCAATGATGCGAAACCTCGTGGTCGGCTGATCTGGCCGATTTTCAAGAGAAGCAAGCAACAATTTTGCATCATTTCACTTGCTATTCCTCATCATCATCATCATCGCTGGATGAGGTCGAAATGTCACCCGGACTCCTACATAATCTCTTGGACAGATGCAAGGCTACCGAAGAGGCATCTTGAAGCGGCATTTTCTTGATCTCCAACCTCACAAAATTGCCTTCTCCGGTCTCCTTGCTGCCAATCTGGATCAAACAACCGTCGTCCGGTGGGTTTTGCCTATTATCGATGTGATCATCTTCAAGCATTTTGTCAAGGGCATCCTCAAACGTTCCGTAACCATCCGCTTCAACCACTCCAGCAGCCTCTACCGCCACGGCCTTGCTGGTGTAGGCCCCCACGAGCGTGTGTTCGGGACGGTGACGAGTGGCGTGATTCTCGGAAATCAAAGATAGAACAGAAACAGGTTTGTTGGGATTTTCTGCTTCCTCGCTGCTGCGTTTCTTGGAAGAAGCCATGTTGGATTTCTAAAATGCAATAAGCTGTCTGCGACGAGGGGGGGGCAAGTTTGTGTGCTTTTTGTTTTGTGGACCTTCCTGATGAGATCTTTGGGGTGGGTCGGAACGAAGTTCTCGAACCGTTTCAGAACCTGCAAGCAGCCTTGCAGGCTAGTTTATAGGATCGGTACGGTACCGGTGCCACTGCACGAAATATGAGGGAACTTGTGACGTGGTTGATAGGCAGTCCAGCATCCCCTCCGATCCAATCGTATCCAGTTGCTACCGGTACGTGTCCCAAAGCAGATTCTCTTTGTTGACAATGCAGAACCCTGCCCAACTTCCACACTCGAAAGAGGTCATTATTTGCTTCTTCCTTGAAGGTGCTGGGAGGCATTCGCTCTAGCACTCCACACATGGCTTTTGTCTTTGATGGATTAGAGAGTCCTTGTAAAGGGACCGCTTCGGATCCCTCATGAAGGAATCTGCGATCTAAGGAAGGCTGGAGTCGGATCATTGATCAGTCACAATGTAACCCGCACGTACCACTCCCCACGCTTCAAGTAAGTTTCTCGAACGCGTGAACACAAAGGAGTGAAGAGCCAAATTCAATGCTCATTCATTTCTTTCAGTGCATTTCAAAGCCATCATGTCCAAACTGAATAAACCACTTGCAAGAAACCTCATGATGTCTTGGCTCTTCTTGTGGAGTATACTGCTGCTTGTTACCGCTTCTGTAGTGGCCGCAAGCGCGGACCAGCAAGGAGATGTCTTGTCTCCCACCAACATGGTGCATGCTGCTTCCGCTACGAATGATCCAAACACCAAAACCAACACGGACAATAACCAGAAGAAACACTTGAATCCTTACTTTGAGGGAGGTGGTTGCCTTCGTACCCTTCTTGGCGATAGCGACGGATATACCAACAAGCTCAGGGTCTGCAATTCCAATGATCCTCCCGAAGCGGCAACCTTGGGGTATTGTCAAAACTCACCCCTCCTCGACTACACGGAAGTGCGCATGGCAGGACAAAATTGGGAATCCAACATCATCTCGGCTTGGCTCTTGCAGATTATTCTCTCGGAACTCTTGGAAGTGCCCACCACAGTATGTAAATTTCATGACACGTGCTCTGCATTCATTGTCCAGCTAGATTGCTAGCTGACGGCCGTTGACTTTGCTTGTTGTGCTCAATTGTCCTTTTTCTTTTGTCGTCTCAATTGGTCAGATTGAAGTGGGCGTTGCGGGGGATCACGGTGGCCCGGGTGGGAGTCAATTGGATTTCCACAATCCCGATGCCGACTATGCCTACGGAGGTGGGGACTTTCGCTACGGTGAACTCGTCACGGCGGCACGGGTCAAGGATTGCGGAACACTCGACCGACAGGCATCATCAGACGATTATCAGGCATGTTTCCACTTGGCCCCGGAGGTCTGGTACGAAGATCGCTTTGGGGATACCAGCGTGCAACTGGAGGGGGCCGAACCACCTCTCGAGTTGGGGGCGCTGGGGTATCAGAGCTTCTACGTTATCAAGTACACGGCCCAAAATGATACCTCCTTGAACTCGTACTTGGGAATGGGAGGAGAGCAGAATCGTCGCAAAATGGCCGAAACCTTCCCGCGACCCACGACATGGAGCGAGTACTGTGATCAAGTCAGCCCTACCAACTGCCAGACACCCGATGAGACGGCCACTCGACCTCCGGCAACAGAAGAAGAAAAGGGCTATTACTTTTTGCAAGACGGCTATCACGGTCACTTTCGATACACCGAACAGAACGATTGCGACAGGTACCCTCTCTATTGCACTGGGTTCTTTGCAGATTTGCCTTGTGGATGGGGGTCATACGCCAGTCAGCAATTGTACCATAACAAGATTGCGTTGGCATCGGAAAACCCGCATGATCCAGCGGGTGGATTCAACCCCACCTACATGCGACAACTCTATGCCGCGGCCAACTATACACAAAACAACTTGATGGTGTATTGGCCTGATTTGACCATTCTCTATCATGCCTTCATGGGAAGTCCGGCCGAGTTTACTCGCGTCGTCCTGCCCGAACCGACGCAAGAGTGTCTCGAAGCGAGGGTTGATCCGGGTAAACGTTGTGGAAGGAATGATGGGACTTCCACATTCGAGGAGCTCGTGGGTGAGCCAAAAGGAGCTTGCAATGCCATGACGACTTCCTTGAAAAAAGTCATTGGGACGGCTCTGTACGATATTTCCTTCGATCCTGACACACCGGAAGCGCTTTGGAGTCCTGCCTACGATGTCATTCACAACTTTCAAATTACAGGTGCGTGCGTTCGAGTTGGCCTCGTGTGGTTTCAAGTATTCTCCGTCTCCTTACCCGTTTGATTTGGTCTGCTCACTTAGGCCCCAAGCTGGGTCAAGTGCTGAAATCAATGTCACGCCGCTTACCCTTCAAGGACGATGAGACGTATGGGCTCGTTCTCCGAGAGGCTACGTGTGAATGGGCAGCTGAAAATGTCGACTTTCTGCGTAGCTTTCTGCCACCATCGCATCCACGTGTTGTGCAAGACGAAGACGTATCGGGGCATGCTCTCTTCACATCCGCATTGGTTCTGGGTTCGTTGGCAGTGGTTCTAGTATTGGTGTCCATTGTGGTGACCATTGTCAAAAAGAACACCAAGGTCTTGTATTACACTCAACCCGAGTACATGACACTCTTCCTCGTTGGGTTGGGTTTTGTCGGTGTGGGAGCGATTGCCATGGCGGCGCCGCCCTCTGATGCAACCTGTGTCAGCATTGCCTGGTTTATCAATATCGGTTACGCCATTCACTTGGTGCCACTGTTGGTCCGAATCAATGCCATCAACAACCTTGCAACATCGGGCAAGCAGATGCAACGAGTCCGTCTTAGGCTTGGAAACCTCTATGCTGTCACCTTGGCATCAGTGGTGATTGTGGGAGTTTATCTGGTTGTCTGGATGCTTATGGACCCTCCACTGGAAGCTTTTCAGTATCAGTTGACTGGGGATGTGACAGAAGATGGCGAGAGAATCATCACCGCATATGATTACTGCGGTTCGGCTTCTGTTTCTTCCTTCACCAACGAAGCCTTTGGCGATTTGTTCTACATGCTGAGCTATACATGGAGAGCGTTGATTATACTGCCCGCGGGCATGATTGGTATCATGTCGCTACGTGTGCGAGAGGATCTGAACGATACCAGATCCATGAGCATGGTGCTCTTCGTCCACACAATCGTTCTCGTTGCTGGCATCATCATGTCAGCAACTGGCGACTTCAAATCCGATTTGATGGGGTATGCAAGCCTGGCTTTGAGTGCCGATGTGCTTTTGTCCATTGCGGTGTACATACTGCCCAAGTTTATTTACAGTGGAGAAGAGTTGGAAGCAGAGCCGCTTCCGGATGTTTTTGTGAAGACAACCATTGTACTTACCGACGTAGTCGGCTTCACGGCTTGGTGCTCTGTGCGTGAACCAGTCCAAGTGTTCAGATTCTTGGAGGAGTTGTATGAATGCATTGATGTCATTGCAGAGAAGCACTCAATTTTCAAGGTGCAAACCATCGGAGAGTGCTGGGTGGGAGCGAGTGGGATTCCAGAAGCTCGAAGTGATCACGCTGTGAGAGCAGCTAAGTTTGCAATGGGTAAGAAGGCAACCTTTCTGTCAGACGTTTGGTCATGACAACCTGCTGACTTGTCTTTCATTGACATCCCTTTCTTCGTGTGCATTGTTCGGTTGCGCGCATTAAAGCTTGCATGAAGAGAACCGATCGTCTGACAAAGAAGCTTGAAATCAAGTTTGGTCCAGACACAGGGGACCTGACTCTACGGATTGGCATGCACTCGGGGTACGAATGTTGCTCCTTTTGTACCTGCAGAGGCTTCATCATTTCAATCTGAAGTGAACTCTTGATCTTTCTCACGCCGTGCCTTCTCGTTTTTTAGGGCTGTGACAGGCGGTTTCATGAAAGGAAAAGGAGCAAGATTTGAGCTGTTTGGGGACACCAGTGAGTAGCCCTGAAATCGGGCCGCCTCCTTTTTGTGCACTTCTCCTTGGGCTTCCTTCTCACTCACATTGCTTGAATGCTTCAACCGTAGTGCAAACTGCGACTTTGATCCAGCAAACGGGTGAAAGTGATCGTATTCACCTGAGCGAAGCAACCGCTTCGGAGCTGATAAATTTGGGAAGGAAAAGTTGGGTTGAGGAACGAGAAAGCAGGCTGCTGACGGCTCAGAAGGGTGAAATTCAGACTTATTGGATTGCTCGTGGGAAGCGTGATAATGCTACAGATTCCAGTTCCGTGGGGGGCTTCAGCGTCGATTCGGACGATGGCGACGACGAACTTTTGGAATTTGCCTCCATATCGGAAAGCAAACAGCGTTGGATTCAGTGGAATGTGGGAACGTTCCAGGAAGTAAGTGGTTTCGTTGGACTTGCTGGCTGCAGTGGTAGCCATTGCAGCAACTTGCACTGAACTAGCTCACACGCTGAATCGAATCGAATCGCGTCTTCCATTCAATGCAGTTACTGAAGCAGATTGTCGCCCGAAGAGAAGTGCAAGCCAGCACTCGCAGCAGCGAGTTTTTTCAACATAGCAGCGAGGTGTCGGCAGAGATGCCGCTGGAAGAGGTTGCCGAGATCATTGAATTGCCCGACTTTGACAAGAAGGCCGCAAAAAGGCAGCGTGAGAATGCCGGCAGTGTTGAACTTTCACCCGTGGTGGTAGAGCAACTCAGGGATTATATTACGGGGGTTGCAGAGATGTACAATGACAACCCGTTCCATAGTGAGTCCAGGAATACCTGATTCGACCATCATTGCATTGGATCCTCCTTTCTAAGCTTGCCTATGCCTTCTCTACCGCCCTCCTTAGACTTTGCCCATGCCTCTTATGTTGTCATGGCCGTCACAAAGTACATGAACCGCATTCGACAAGCTCACGAGATTGATGTGGGGGATGATGGAGAAAGATTCCGAAGCAGCACGTTGGCTGCAATTCACAAGCATACATACGGTGTGACTTCGGACCCATTGACTCTGTTTGCATGCCTGTTTTCAGCATTGATTCACGACGCCGACCATCCTGGAGTCCCTAATGCAACCCTGATCAAGGTGAGTTGCCGGCTGTGTTGCACTCTTTGGTCCTTTGGGTGAACAGACTCTCAGTCATCGTTTCTTTTGCGCTTTGCAGGAAAACGAAGTAGCCGCCAAGCGGTACAAGAAACGATCTGTCGCCGAGCAGAAATCGTTCGAACTTGCCTTTGGATTGCTCATGGAGAGCCGTTTCAACCTGCTCCGTTCTACAATTTGCTGCAATGACAAGGAACTTGGTCGGTTCAGACAGCTGGTCATCAATAGTGTCATGGCCACAGACCTTGGCGATAAAGAGCTCAAGGCTCTTCGCAATGGTCGATGGGAAAAGGCATTCGTCAACGCAGAATCATCGAGTTCAGAAGAGTTCAAAGATATTACTTCAATTCGGTCGACCACCACTTCTCTGAGATCGTCGTCGAAAGATAACGCTTCCATGACCGCTTCAAGTACGGTATCTTCCCTGAGGTTGAGATCCAACTCCGACGATGACATGATGGCGTTGGAAAGTGCTCTGAAGGACCGACGTGATACGATCAATCGAAAGGCTACCATTGTGGTATGTCAGATACCACTCTTCTTGTACACCGATGACAACCTGTACGTGTTTCTAATCAATCTCTGTCCTCCTTCTCCCACGTCCGCACAACAGATTGAGCACTTGATTCAGGCAGCGGATGTGGCGCACATGTCTCAGCATTGGGCGATCTACAGGGTGAGCTTCATCATGGTGACTTACTTTAGCAATGGTTGTCTTGTCATGTTTTGCTGACTAGCTAGCCATTGAAATCTATCTGTCTTATGCCTTGCGTCATCTTCAGAAATGGAATGAACGCTTATTCAGAGAATGCTACAAGGTAAGGTTGCTGAAGCGATGAAACTGTATGCTCGTGGTTGTGATTCTTTCGTGGTTGACCGAGTGCTGTAGTGGGCGAGGGGAGTTGTTCCTCATGTTTTGCTTGCTACTGTTGCCAATGCTTCGCTACCCGCAGGCCTATAGGGAGGGACGTTCAGAAATGAATCCTGGAGACAACTGGTACAAGGGGGAGATCGGTGAGTTCCTTCTAGAGACAAAGGAGGTGACGAGTGTTGGTTGTCGACTTACTGTTGCTATTCCCCTTCTCCAGGCTTCTTTGATTTCTACATCATCCCTCTATCGAAAAAGCTTCGGGATTGTGGTGTCTTTGGACCCACCAGTGATGAAAATTTGAACTAGTAAGTTACCTACCTGCAAGTAGTTGTACGACGGAAGGAATCGAGTGTAATCCGTTGTCTCTAACGTGCGTTGCAATGTTGCTGCGAATGCTATATAGTGCCACCAACAATCGCAACCAGTGGGAAAGAGAAGGAGAGAGTATTACTCAAAGTATGCTGAAAGCAGTGGAAGAAGAGTACGCACGAACGGATCAGGCCCAGCATTTGGAGACCAAGCCTGGCGGCGACTTTGCATGATGAGGTGCTGAAGCTCTTTCAGAAAGGGAAACTTGGCGATTGTTGCTATGTTTCATGTTTCTGCCTCTCCTACCTGGTACACTGCTCGCCCGTCAGCATTCTGAACGCCGCACCGACCCAGATTGAATAAATGATGTTCTTCATGCAGACCCGTATCTCAATTGCCCTTGTGAAAGCTACCCATTTATGTCTCCGTGGCTCCCGCAAAGCCAAACCCTTTGCCCCCCGTAATGGTCCTCAATTTCTTGCCCCTGATCCCACAGAACCTAGTCCTGAATTACGACTGTTCTTTGCTTAAGCCTGGCCCCGGCTGGCTTCCGTAGATAATTTCCCTACTCTAAAACCCCCCTTAAACTTTTCCTCCTTCATCCAATATGACGTAGCAAATCCCCTCTCTGATCTTGACTAGCTGGCTGAATGGCTGGGGCGACATTCCTTGAAAAGAGAGATCTTTCCATCCATGATACTTAATTAATTAAACCTCTTCTGGTACAGCTGTACATGCTCAATGACAGCAACACTAACCCAAAAAGATATAAGGGGGGGTTAGAGTAGGGAAATTAATTGCGGAAGCCTGCATTTCGATGGCCAAATTTGAAGGCTCGAGATGCCACCGCAAACATCCCACAATACTAGCAATAGTAGAGGTTCTTCCCTCCCGCAATAGACGTTCATAAAAATGGAACATTCTGTAGCCCAAATGGATGACGAGGAAGAGCTGATGGATATAGTGGCTGCCAGAAGCCGGGGTGACAATATAGAAGCGGAGCTCAGAAAGCTGGAAATGCTTAAATTGGAAGCACAACCGAGAGAAGATGAGCAATCGAGGAGAGCGGAAATTGGAAGGCCATCCCAGCCATCGCAGCATCAAACCAGTACAACAGGCGGCAACTCCATGGGAGAGGAAATCAAAGAAGAAGAAAAGGAAGAAGATGTCTTTATTTTGAAGGGAGTAGAAGATCAAACAAAGACTCATCGACAAGTAGAAGCTGGTCTAGAGGATGAGCTTGCTTTTCCGCAACCAAACTTGACTAGTAGTGGGCAAAACCAGTCAGATACGGCTACCATGCATCCAGGAGCATATGCAATGGCCCCGGGGAATGCAAGGAATCAAAGTGCTTCAGATGATCAATCCACCACTCCAATGGACACCAATAGTGGATTGGCAGTCGCAAATAAGGTTGAAGAAGATGAAGAACCTACACAGATTGCTAGACCCGACCATTTGCATGGGGAAAATGGATCTACGTCAATCACTCTCATGATCCTTGTTCTCATTGGTAGCCTCCTCATGGTTGGAGTGATTGTTGGTTCCATCTGTGGGGCTGGTCTCTGCAGCAACAAAACACGTGATGCGGAAACTCAGGCTCCCTCTTCCTTTCGATATTTTGTTTTGGAGGACTTCAAAACAGAATTGAAGAGGCTTTTGGGCTTGGCTATTTTCCCAAAAGGGACAAGGCAGAACCCACCCAGCCAAACTTAAGGGCTCTTGATTGGATTGTGTTTGAGGATCCTCTGCAACTTGAGCCAGATGCCAACAATCTTCTTCAGGGTTCATGTGGCATTGACTTACTTTCACACATCCCAGCAGAGTGACTGGTTTGATTGTGGGCCATCTACAACTGCAAACGATGACACATGCTGGATTCAAATCCAGGGTTCGGAATCATTGGCAAGTAGATGGCTCGCAGGTGTTCACGAATGTCGATGGGCAGGAATTTATTGTGACAGTGAAAAGAACATTACTCAGTTGCGGCTTGGTGAGTTTTTTCTAACTTTGTTGACCACAACAAGAATCAAATGCATGAATGAATCCTGTTCTTATCCTTAGCTTGCTTCATTGTTACCAGGGGACAATGGATTGAATGGTGTTTTGCCCAAGGAGATTGCCAGTCTTCCAGCACTGGAAGCAATAAACTTTCGTGGGAACCAACTAACAGGAAGTATTCCTGTGGAATTGTTTGGAAACAAGCTCTCCTCATTAACGTTTACAAACAATTCACTAACAGGGACAGTGCCCACAGAAGTTGGACTCTTTGATGGGACTTCGCTTGGATTTGGTTCAAACAGCTTGTCCGGTTCCCTTCCTACAGAACTCTTTCAGATTGGCAGAGGAGGCCTATATCTCAATGTTTGGTTCGAGGACAATTTGGTAGGTATCCTCTTGCAAACCAGGAACGCAACAACAAAAGGGATCGTTCACGGGCCATGTGCACAACTAACTCATAATAACTCTCATGTCTGTTCCCTTGCTTGTACGGCATATGTAGCTTACAGGAACTCTACCTACTGAAATTGGAGCATTACATTCCCGTCAACTCTTCGTCTATTTGCAAGGGAACCCTTTGCACGGCACCATACCATCCGAAATAGGACTTTTGAAAGGCTCTCTCAGAGAACTTGATGTCAGTTGGACCCATATGGATGGCTCCCTACCAGAAGAACTCTTTACAGCATGTACCAACTTGGGTTTACTTCAGGTCTCCAACTGTGGCGACTTGACAGGCACCATAGGCGCTGGACTGCAGCTTTTGACAAAGCTAGAATTCTTTGACATTTCCAACAACAAGTTCCATGGCACCATCCCAGAAGACCTTTCCGCTCTGACATCTCTACTTTGGTTTCTTGTGAATGGGAATGACCTTTCTGGATCCATCCCATCATCTGTCTGTGCTTTGGCTGACCCCGGCAAGGAAAGGTACCACTTTGCAGTGGCAGCTGACTGTTTGCCAGCAAGGGATGGCACAGGCAATCCCATGGTAGAGTGCTCTTGTTGCACTCTGTGTTGTGATGGTGGCGCTGCTGACTACTGCCTGTCCAAGTAAGTAGGACAGATTCCAGTGACAAGCAAGCAACCCCGGGATTTAATTGCTTGGGGTTGCTTTGGCTGTCGTGGAGACTGCAGCATCATCCCACGGAAGCTCTAGCTAGAGTCGTCCTGAATTTCGACTCTTCCTTGCCTGGCCCTCGCTGGCTTGCTTCCTCCATAGGTAATCAGCCTACCCTACCGGTAAACCAACTTGCTTTCACAAGTTTGCAGCCAGTTCGTACTCACAAACAACTGCCGAACAACGATGAATGAATTGAATATGACTGCCTTTGGTAGTTTTGTCCGTTGGTCTTCGGGCTTCACCCCAGGCCTCGGTCAAGGAGATGATACCGTTGGATTCGAGGTAGTCTAGCAATTCCCCACATCGCTATCCGATGCAGGTCGTGTAGATTCGCTCATTCGTAGTTGATTCATTGATAGCTAACAATGGTTAGTAGCAGCCGGGGTCGTTCGTCTGCGTACAGAAAGGAGATATCTAGCTAGAAAAGGCTAAAGGTAGTGTCTCTCTAGGAAGCTAGAGAGCTAGCTTCCGGTAGCAAACCTAAGTGCTCTAACTAGCTAGCTAGGCATAATAGCTAGCCAGTGCCACCGGATCCTGGCCGGTACTAGTACGGTACTACCGGCCAGAGATGCCGTTGGATGCCTTCGAGGTTGGGAGGGGTGCGCCATTGTGTATAGCTTTGCGCCCTTTTTGGCCTTTGGCATCAAATTTGGCCACGTGGCCTCGAGGAACGACGAGGAAAACGAAAATGAAAGAGGTGGTCCACTCAGCTAGCTTGAAGCACCAACTAGCCAAATCTTCAAACGGTGGATATTTGTTTCTCGCTGTTGCTCCCATTACTCCCTTCATTATCTGCTAGAGACACGATGACAACGATCATGAACTGGCTGAGTGTTAGTAGAACTAGTGGTGGTACCGGTAGCATTGCATCCTTTGGCGAGACCATGAATCGGAACAGTTTCTTCACGTCCTTGTTGCCTTCTCCTCATGATGGACTATTAATAAGAGAGGAAGCTACCGGTAGAGTGGAGACTGGTCAAGAAGAATCTTCCTTAGTGTTTGTGAGTTCTGTGGTGTTTCTGTGTCTCTTGATTGGAGGAGCCATTTGGAGACTCTCTACTAGTACTGCCAGAAGTAATGAGGAGAAGACCAAGCCACATTCAGTCCTCTCCTGTAGTCCCCAAGAAGAATATGAGAGTCTGATTGCGGCACTGCAAGCACTACTGCAAGCCAAGAGTGTTCATGTAAATGAACAAGCCATTCTATGGAGACAAGAAAAGAGAATTCTAGAAGCAAGAATTGACCAATTGGCTCAGTTACAGCCACAACAGCCATCATGCCGTGTACAGGTAGTACAAAAGAAGGAAGAAGAAAAGAAGACAGATCCAATGGATCATCCTCCATCTACTTCCAGTAGCACTGCTAGAATCCAAGCCCTCCAAGACCAAGTGAGGGCGTTGACCACACTGACACAACAACAAGCACAACAATTGGCCTCCAGAAACAATCAAATTGACAAGTTGCAAAATATCATGGAAGAAATACAGCAAAACATGCATCCAACCAAAGACAACAGCTACAATCCATGGGACACGTGTGGAATGGACACCGATGATGATGATGATGAAGACATGGACGGAACCTCCCACGATCAACTTGTCCAACGCCTCCTGGGCAAAATTGCCAAACAACCCACACATGTCCAAGAAGAGCTCGAATTGCAGCTGTGCCAACGACGACAGTCACTCTCCCAACAAAACTCTACCGTCAGTACGACTCCTTCCACCATTGTACAACATACAGACGATACGATTGACGACAGCGACGCCTCCAGTGTCGAATCCACTTCCGACGTTCGTTCTGAAGCTTCCTCTGACGATGATGATGAACTCGATGACGATGATACCAACACTCTTATCAATGACAACAAGGTCGTATTACTCTTTAGTACCATGCCCGGCAATCTACAAGTCAAGATGCAACAATCGCGATTGGAGGCCATTTTCCGACATGGCCTTCAATTGGCACCGGATTGTCTCGAACTATTGGATGCCTGTCAACCCGAACTGGAACAGTTGCGGAACGATCTCTTTCGTATCAGTGGCTTGCACGCCGTGTATCCCCAAGTCTTTTTGGTGGTCGGGGGCACCGATATCCAATTCCTCGGTGATTACGAAACAGTCCTGGAATGGCACGATGCCCGACAATTGCCGCAACGCATTGGGTTGGTATTGTGAAGTGAATACCAAAAGTGAAATGAATGACGCAACAACGGTACTACTACGGAACTCACTGCATCGACCAGGAAGCAATCCCATTCCACAATACACTTTGGCATCCTAACAACTGCGAATGATTCGATTCTTGAAGACAAACAAACGAACAAAACATTGCTATGCACAGAATGAATCAAATCAGAAAATCAATGCACACAGACAAACAGACTCGAGACCGAAAGCAACGAAACAGCTTGTAGGTAGGGACGGAAGAGGGCATTAGCAGCTACTACATACATACACAAGCCTCAACCTACCTACCTACAGTACTGTGAGTGATACATGAAAAACACGAGAGGGGAAAGACACAAGACAAACATGCTCCGCAAAAATCTACCACGACGACACATCCACGAGTATTGACACAAACAAAGCAGACTCTAATCACTACAAACAAAACTTAGAATGGGATCCGAAAATGAATATATATATCGCCGTCTCTGGGCATCAGCACTGTCTATGGCTCTGCAGATCCTTGCCTCTAGAGGCTAGCTAGAGATCGAAATGTTGGTGTCTCGGTGTCCCAATACTGCAGTGATCCGGAATATGCAAATCTATGTATACTATGCAGTTAAAATGTGTGGCTTATCTAGATGAATATGGAGGACTTTCATGTTCCCTTTTGCTGCCCTGGCCTGCTTGGGCTAGCTAAGATGACAAAGATTGGCTGCTCCTTCTCAGTGCTGGTGGGGGCAAGAAGACTCCGTCAACCATACATTGCGCAGACTGATGAGTCTTATTGGGGCCTTCTCGTTGCAAGACCATGTCAGGGGATCGGGGAAACTGCATCATGTGTCGGAGAGTGTGTTCGTCCGGGCCATCCGAGGAAAGCAAATCTAGCTCAGAGCGGCGGGACTTGACCATCATGGCTTGCCATTGTTGTGGATTCCATACGTTCTTGCTCGTTGTGCTGGTAGCAGGGGAAACAGTTGGAGTGTTGTTGGGGCACATTGTGGATTTCAGGTTTCAGGTTGTGTTGTGTTGTGTGGAGTTGGTTTGTGGTTTGATGATTGCTGTTGGAATTGTGAGCAGTTTTGTCTGGTACCGGATCTCTGGGTCATCTCGGAAGAGGCCATAAACATACTACCGTAGTACATGCCAAAGCATCTTCCTCTGAGGTGAAAATTGAGCTGTTGATGGTTGATGGGCATTGGGCATGCCATGTTGGTAAAACCAGCATTCCCGCTTATTTCTTCAAGTGCTCTTTAGCGGGTCTTGGTGGCGAACATTCGGTGTAGAAAGCTTTCACAAAATAGGTTTTGTACAAATCTGACAGTGACGGGAAAAGGCAAAATAGAGCAAAGCTTCATTTTGTGGACAAAAGAGATGGAAAATACCTTTTTACAGATACAATTATTGTCAAATAAATTTGACTGAAAAGGTTGATTTGAGAGCGTTCTGGTTGAATGTTCTGTAGTTCCAGGGTGGTCCTCCTGATTTCTACCGTACATGAACAACCGGCACCGAGAAGACTGTATTCAGAGCTCACAAAATCAACGAAAGCCGGCTCAGGGTAAAGAACCGAACTCAACTGGCAGGACCTCTATTGAAAAGACGAGAAACTGGCAAGGAACTGAAAGGCGGACTTGACGCACAGGGTACAGCGCATGAAGCCATGGCAAGTCGGAGAAATAAATGGTATCAACAGTATCTGCTTATTACGAATTCATGCGAAACCTGCCCCTCCTTCAATTCAGATCGACCAGGACCTAAGGACTTTGCTACGGATGGGCTCCCCATGGATCCATTCACAGCCTTGGCACGTACGGTACCGATGTCATCCCGAATGGTTTTGTGCATTTATTTGGCCTTTTCGCTAGCTTGAAGATCACTGAACCTGATCGTCACAAGTGCTTGCTTGGTTTTTGCGTTATTGCCATGGCCGCTATTTATGGACCGCCAGCATGCGAGCGAAGGAAAGAATTGCCCCGACTCGATAATTCCCCCCAAACACTCGTTGCTGAAACGACCTCGGAGAACCTGGTAGGTACTGGTACATGCACGTTGAGAAACGAATTGCTTTGCCTCAACCAAACCGCCAAGATCAGGTTGATGGGCATCTTGAGAAATTTATTCAAGATCAGTGCAGAGATAGTCGGTCGCGAAGAGGATGGATTCGAGATACATTGACGACAACACCGTTTGTAGTGCCTTGTGATAAACAGACATGGCGCCGGTACCAGGTTTGCCTTCACAGAGAGCAACCTGGTGTGCTTGTTGAGCGCCATTGCTACCCTTGCGTAGTTGAGGATTTGTGGGGGGCAGGCCAAGGGCGTGTGGGACCATACGGTAGGAAGCTGCTACCATACGTCCGCTAGAAGTGTCCACTTGTCCTGCATCACACGCACACCATCATGTCGTTTGCTATGTGTGTCATGGCCTCCGCTGTTTGATGAATGTAGAAAGGAGTAAAGATTTGATTCTGGTATTGCATGGTCAGATCAGACTCATATAGGTGCGGCAAGTCAGCCCGATGACGGGGCCGTCTGTACTCTCGCAAGCAATGACGGGAGCAGTGCTGCATACGGTAGATACCGCACCTGACTCATGCGGATTCTTTGCTCAATGACTTTGAGTATGGCTACGGCCAAAGCTACCATGCAGCAAAGTAGAAAGCTCGGTTGCTTGTTTGAATAGAACTATTTGTTACAAGTGCGCTCGCAACTTATTGGCCGCCATCAAGACATGCTTTCTTCTGTTTTGCCAATTGCAAAGACACGCAAGTTTTTGCCTCTTAATGGACAGCCTCGGGATAGCCCTGCGTGGATTGCTGCATCCAGCGGTGGCATTGCCTTGCCTTGTCGATCTTTGGTCCTTTTTGCCTTTGCGTTGTTGGCCCAGGACGGTTAGCGTCCAGCCATTTGCGTTTTGTTGATGTGTCAGATCTTAAAGTTTTGATGATGTGCGATTGACATTGCGCTGAAGCACTGGTGGGGGCAAATAAACACCATCCAACATGAATGATGGGCGCTCGACTCCATGTTTGGGTGCCAAGCTGGAATCACTGCTCGAGGTGTTGTCATCATCGTCATCATCCAGCAAGGACACCTTTTTCTTAGCTCCATTTGCGTTTCCAATCTGCATCATGTGTCGAAGCACGTTGGAATCCGTAACATCCGATAAGATCAGATCTCCTGGGGTTGACGTACTGGCGGCAATGAAACGATTCATTTCCCAGCCTTGCCATTGTTCGAAGTTGCTCGTGGTGAAAGCCATGGTTCAGTTTGTGTTCAGTTGCTTTGCTTGTCTCTTGCGCCTTGCAGGGGAAATTGTGAGCAGGATTGAAGGAAGTAGTCTTGCAGTTGATTGCGGAAAGGCTGAGGCACCTCGGCTCGTTTCCGATGCATGTGTGCGGGGGAACCTTCGTTGAAAGTCTACTGTACTAGTAGGATCAAAGGGTCACTGTTGTTGTGGATGCATCCCGCTTTCTGTTTTCATTGTTCTTCCTCGCTCCCAGCATTATGCTTTTGATGCTGGGACTGTAACTGTTGCCATGTGCTCGTACTCGTACTGGTAAGTTCTGTTGAGCTGTTGAGGTTGCATGCGTGGAGGCTGACGCCTGATCACCTCCACACTGTCCTCAGTCCTCAGCTCCTCGACACAATTCTCCCAGCTTCTCTCCTTAATTCACTCGATAAGGGGATCCTAAATCAGTGTACCAATGAATTAGTGCACCAAGAGTATCGAGGCAAGTATGAACTCCTCCTTGTTTAGGTAGCGAATGCAAAGCACTCAGTTGACTTTCTAAAGCTGCCTCTCATCTCTCATCATCAGACTCTCATCCTTCGCAGATTCCCGAGTGCTGAAAGATTCCATAAGACGTAGGAGCTTACCTAAGATACCTCTCAGAGGGTTCTCCTCTCAGAGCGGAAGTAAGCTTTTACTGTTCTGTTGTACCCTCTTATTACTATATACTAGCAAGCTGTACCGGTACAGTTCCGCTGAAAAATTAATGTAATAAGGTGACTTACTTGACACAAGACTACCAGTAAAATAAATAGTGAACGAGGGGTTTTGTTTTTGCTTTCATTCGAAGCGTGCCCTTGGCTTGAACATCAGACATCAGATCCTTCGAAGGCTCGTCGCCTCGGCTGTCGGCTGTACCGGTACTGGTGCCCCACTAGCTAGGCGAATCTTCGGCAACTGACTTTTACCAGGCAGGACCAGGACTTGGCGTAAGACGGTACCGGTACGGCTGGAAAAGTTTGTATCGAGGGACTTATCGAAGGATAGCTATAGTACGAGTACACACGTGTGCGGTAGGGCTTTAGCTTTTGCCTTGAAGCAACCTTGAAGCATTGATCTTTTAAATAATGCTCTGTGAGCTCTGAGTTGCCGAAATCTTGGTCCAGGCTAGCTAGTAGAGCTACATGGAGAATGGCTACTCGAACCCATGCCCAGCTGCATGTATCCTAACTCCAGAGAGCTCCGAGTTCGGGATTGGCGCTTCAGTCTTCAGCAGTCCTCATCAGATATTTGTAGCCCCTGGAACAGCATTGCTACAAAACCCTTGTCTGCAACCCTCCTCGCAACAAGACCCAAACTTTCTTTTCCCATTCAATTACATTCCTCGGAATGTTTGTACAGTGGACTACTTCCTCTTTCTGAATCTACGGTGTCGTTCATAGAGAGGTTCGAGACATTGATGGGGTCCTTCCAAAACAACATACATTTGTAGCTCTGCTGGTCTTTTCAGAAATTCTCCTTCGGATTGTTTAGAATTTTAAAAAATAGATCTACGCATTACGAATTGCCACGTGACGGTCACTAAAATGGGTTGGGCACCAATCACAACAACATGTCACGGGTTGTGGTACGGGCACAGGCTGTACGGTAGTACAATGTACCTGGCACGATTTGGGGACAAAAGCCACAGCTCATCAGCTCGAATTCGGTTGTTTGCTCCAGCCATACTCGAGTAGCTATCGTTCACCTGGCTGCAGCTAAGATCTCGATTCGTTGCCGAGAGTCAAAAAGACGCCAGTTCAACGGGGGGCAACTTTGACGGGTTGTTTCACGGTGCCGCCGCCGCCGACGACGACAAGTGTTTGCTTGGTTGTTGCGTTCTTGTTGCCATATCCGCTGCTTCTTTGATAAGGACCGCCTGCCTGCGCATGAGAGCGATGGAAAGCCTTGCCCCGACTCGACTCCAAAGCTGTGTCCTCCCAAAATTTGTGGCTGAAAATAGCCTCCGAGAACGCTGGCTGGTACATTGGGAAACGACTTGCTTTCCCCACGACCAAACCACCAAGTTTTTAAATCTGGGCATCTTGTGAGAAACAATCAGCGGATCAGTGCAGAGATAGTTGGTTGCGAAAAGAATGGCTTCGAGATACGGTACAATGGAGACAAAACTGGTTGTCGTATTGCACCGTGTACCCAGACATGGCGCCGGTACCACTTTTGCCTTCACAGAGAGCAACCTGATGTGCTTGTGGGCTTTTCATCAGCGGATCATGGATCACCATTTCGATCCTTGCGTGGTGATGTTTGTGGGGGGCAGGTCAGGGGCGTTTGGAACCCTACGGTAGGAAGCTGCTGTGTCCGTCCACTTGGCCCACATCACATGCATATCATCATGCCTTTTGTTACGCTACCAGTGTCATGGCATGAAGTTGTTTTACTTATGTAGATTTTGATGAACCAAGGTTTACTTTTGATATTGCATGGTCAGATCAGACTCATTACTTGAGGTGCGGCAAGTCAACCAGATGACGGGACACTCTGGCTTACTAGCCGTCTGCACTCTCGCCAACAATGACAGGAGCAGTGCATAGATACCATACCTGACTCCTGTGGATTCTTTGCTCGGCGACTTTGAGTACTACTTCAACGGCAAAGGCAACAGCTGCAGCCACGAAAATAGAGAGCTTGTTTGCTATTTTGTGTAGAGCTATTTGTTACAATTGTGCTTGCTATGTATTGGCTGCGATCAAGAGATGTTTTCTTCTCTTTCGATGTCCCAATTGCAAAGACATGCAAGTTCGTGACTCTGAATGGACATAGATCAATGCAGTCCTCAGGAGGATAGCCACTGCGTGGATTGCTGCACCCAATGGTGGGATTGCTTGGTTCGTCGATCTTGTGTCACTTGATGGCCAGGGCAGCTAGCGCCCAGCCATTTGCATTGTCTTGATGTGTCAGATCTTAAAGTTTTGATTCGGTGCGATTGACGTTGCGCTGAAGCGTTGGCGGGGGCAGATACACCCCATCACACATGAATGATGGGCGCTCGACTCCATGTTTGGGTGCCATGCTCGAATCACTGCTCGAGGTGTTGTCATTGTCATTATCATCCTCGTCATCCCGCAAGGACACTTTCTTGGCTCCATTGGAGTCTCCAAATTGCAGCATGTGTCGAAGCAAGTTGGAATCCGTAACATCCGATGAGATCAGATCTCCTGGGGTTGACGTACTGGCGGCAATGGAACGATTCATTTCCCAGCCTTGCCATCGTGCAAAGTTACCGGTGGGGAAAGACATGTTCAGTTGGCTGGAGTTCAGTTGTTGCTTTGCTTTTTTGCTCCTTGCGGAAATTGTGCGCAGGGAGGCAGAGAGTTTGAAGGCAGATGCACCTCCGCTCGTCAGGTGCGGATGGTACGACCGGTGGTAGGAAACTTCGTTGAATATTTGGATCACTGGCTACTGTGACGAAAAAGTTGAGAATTTTGAAAAAGGTGATAACTCCTCAGAATCAGCAGCAGGATTTTTGATGGTTTGTGTTAGGGTGATTGTAGAATTCTCAACTTGATCTTCAGATTTGTGTTGGAGCCAGTAGGTTTGAGAATTCTCAACTTTTTCGTCACAGTAGCTGGGATATTGTTTTTGGATGCATCCCGTTTTCATTGTTCTTCCTCCCAGCATCCTTGTTAGCTTCATCTCCTAGCTAGCTAGCAAATTGGATGTGCCTGGACACGTTCTTCAGAGAAAGCTGACACCTACCACTAGCATTTCGTGGTGTGTGTTACTAGCGGTACGTACGTTGAACAGAACTTTGAACAGTCAGTTCTTGTGCTCTAGACAGTCTTGGTGCTCTTCTTTTGATGCTGGGACTGTGACGGTTGATGGTTCCATGGTTCCTTTGTTTTCTTTTGCATTGTTTGTGTGGCTGAACCCTGAAGCTGCTACCCTGATCACAGTAGCTTCAAAGTGCTCCGAGTTGTTCTTCTTAATTCACACAAGAAAATCTACTTATTACACTTCCGCAAGAGTACTCTAGCGACAAGTATGAACACCCGTTTCAAAGCCTCATTTAATTCATCCTTTCCGCTTTCCAGAGTGCTGAAAGTTCGATTGAAGATTCCCCAAGAATTTTCTCTAAATACATGATACATGATACAGGGTATGGGGTATGATGTACTAGTGCTGGAGTGCTGGCGTACTCAGTAGTCTCCAGTTACCAGTCTCCAGCCAAGCTGTACCGGTACCAGGTACCGTTGAAAATGGAATAAAGGTGACTTGACACAAGACTATCAGAAAAAGAAGGGCTTAGCTTGCCATTGAACATCAGATGCAATCCACTCGTCTACTGCAACGGTACGAGTACAGCGTGCAGCGTACCGGCAATGAAATAAAGTGACTTGCACAAGACTACAAGTTCATACGGTAGCTCAGCTCTACCCACCGTACCGCTGGTAACCAGCTCGGTATTAGTACCGGTACTACCGGTAGGGTAGTAACCATGGAACGAAAAAGTGAAAGTAGCGCTTGCTAGCTAGCGAGGGCTTTTCCCCCTTGAATGGTGGTATCTTGGCGCTGAACATCCTGGAGTGCTCGTGAACTTGCCTTGAAGATCCCCTTCGGCAACTGACTTTACGAGCTCGTTACGATTTATTTGCTCAAATAATTAAATACTCTGAGCAGTTGCAGCTAGGATTCTCATGCCCAGCTACCCCAATTTCAAACTCTAGCTAGTAGAGTCAGAATCTGATGTTCCCAGTCTGAGAAGGGCACTTCAGTCTTCGGCAGTCACTTCAGTCTTCGGCAGTCATCAGATATTTGTAGCTCCCAAGCTATCTATCTGACAACTGCACGCCTTGTTTGGTTTTGCCTAGACTACCGTGGCTGGCAGAGTATTCCTTGATCTCAAACAATTTTTGCAAAAAGCGATCTCCAGGTAGGCTCAAAAGAAGAACCGCCCTAAATAGCCGGGGAAAAGATCTTTTGAATGGTTACAGAATCGAGCGAATCGAGCGAATCGAATCGAATCGTCTAGTAGTGAGCCAGCGTTGCAGAGCCAATAAGAGCTTTTGAACGAGGACTGAGGAGGCATGGTGGGTCCTCAAAGTTCTTTTTGGACCCAGCCACTCACCAGCCAAGTGTGCGCGTCAGGAGCTTTCTCCCAGAAGGTCACCTTCTTTGACAGAGCAAGAGTTGCCAAAGGCTGCCCCATAGAGACCTTCCGTGGGGTTCATCTACCATCCTCTTGGATCGAAAGCGATCAACCTGCTGCCGAGCTAGACCGCAAGACTTGAGCAGCATGCGACGAAAAAAGAACCAGCACACTTTCTTCTCCCGGCCCATTGGCTTCAAGTACGAGCCCTCTGAATGGTTGTTTCGCTTCCCATAGAAGGTACAAGACATCATCACTGGCAGTTCCAGCCCCGCCAAGATTCGACGCCTACGTATTCAAAGGACTCCAATGTAGCGGGCGGCAACATGAGACGTATTTGTCAGCTCAAGCCAGCCATGACCGGGGATCAGGTTTCAGGGTTGATTGCTTCGATTGTGATTTGATTCGATTCTTGCAAACACCAAAGCTAGCTAGAGTACTTGCCCTATTTTTAAAAGAATGCTAAATTGCAAGTCGAAGCCGATTGTCATTACGTACTATAGCACCTCAGAGGTTCCTCCTCCCTAGCGAAACCCTCACGGCGACGACAACGACAAAGACGACGACGATGCAGTATTTTGCCGTTGATTCAGAGCCGCCATGAGTGCCTGGAGATGATTGCGAATATCCCCTTCCAGAGGCGCAAATCCAGGATTCTGTTCCAAGTATTCGGCCATGCGGTGTTCCAGCACGGTGGTGCGTTCCCGTAGATTGTCGGCTTGTTGTTGCATGCTGGTTCGTCGCACGTCCGCATAGGATCCTTTAAAGAGTGTTCGTTCAATGCGATAAATGTCATCCTTTCCATCGGGATACTGTAACACGAGGTAGTCTCCCAACTCGATTCGATTGGGAGATCCCCAGGGAGCCATAAAGTATGCCTCTTTGGTGGTAGTGGTGGTGGGTGTCGAGTCTTGTCGAAAGAAATGCATGTCACTCTCATCTACCTCGTGGGCATATACTTTTCGTTTGGATCGATATTGTTGGAATCCGTTCTCCCGCAGAAACAAATGTTGCGGGTTGGTGTGTGAAATGGGCTCGGGGTGTTCTGCATGCAGGCAACAAGAAGAATAGGGAGAAAGAAAACAAGTGTCAGGGTGAAACCGCGCCATGTAGCTACTGGATCCACAAGGAGATCCTAGCTAGATGCCGTGTCATGTCACGCACCGGTATCATAAATGGCACGAAACTTTTCATCCGTCAAGGGATAGTATTCATTGGCAACTTGTCCACAGACTATCCAACTGGAATCATCCTCGACCGTTTTTTCCGTAGCAACCACTCCATTAATGATAGTCACCACGTGTTCTCCTTTGGATGCCTTGCGAATAAAACTAGGAACTTTTTTGCGATGCACGCGTTTCTCGAGATGAAAAATGGGCAAGAATCGATGAATGATTTCTTCTTGCGTTCGCAACGGAATCGGTTTGGGACCTTTGATCAAATCCTTGACGACGAGTTTTTTCAAATCGACTTGTCGGGAATCATAGTGTGGTGGTTGTTGTTGTTGCTGTTTGGGTGCCTCGTCGGCCGCCATGATTTGACGGACTCTGGATAGACTCGTTGTAAAATCGTCCAATGCCAGAGTCGTTCCTTTTCCGTGAATCAGTGTTTGAAATTCGGGTTGGGTAATTTCCTTTGCCAAAATCACAATTTTGGCCGGATTGCCTTCGCCCAACACAGTCCACGCAATGGGATCGTCTCGCAACCTTAGTAATTTCTTCATGGCGCCATAACCAGATCCTTTGTGTCCACACGCATGACAAAACAAAAAGGCGGCAGCATCAAAACTGAGTGGCGCCAATTCGACCGTATCTTGGTAACATTCAAATCCCGTGGCATGTCGTGTGGATTGTATTTTGGCATTGTTGGTACCAGTAGTATCTTCAATGACAATGACTTTTAAATATTTGGTCTGTTCAAACGCCCGATCGAGAAATTCATTGAGTGCGTGAATGGATTCGTGTGAAAATTTTTGTGTATCGACAATGAGAATGGCCTTTTCGTGTTGTCGATAATCTTCTAGAATGGCATGAAACATGGAATTGGGAGATACAAACTCCAAATCACGATGCAACGGTGGCAACCACAATATTTGTCCCCACATGGCCCGTTTCTTGACGTACTGCGCAATGGCTTTGGCGAGTGACACTTTGCCACTTCCTTTGGGACCGTGAATGCGCACCAATCGAACTTGTCGTCGATCGACAAAGAACGCTTTCAAGATGCGATGCATGACCAGTTCTCTCTCGAGAAATGGTTTGGGAGGAATGGGAAGAATCTGCATGGATTGGGATTTTTTGAGTGTGGACTTTTTAGGTGGGGTGATGTTGTGCATGGAGAGTGACTTTTCCATGAATTGCTGTCGAAATGTGTGGGCGTGTTCTTGTGGAGTTGTTTCTTGCTGTGGTTGTTGAGGTTGTGATGGTTGCGGTTGTTGAGGTGGTTGTGATTGTGATGGTTGCTGCTGTTGCTGCTGTTGTTGCTGTTGTAAAAGTACAAACTTTCTAGCTTCCACTTGTGGATCAATCCCCGCGACACGTTTCATTTCGGGTGCTTGAATGACGGCACTCCTGGCAATTTCAAAGGCCAATGGCACTTGGGTATGTGGCAACGCCAGTGCGGCATAAAAGTGTCGGGCAAATACGCGGGCGGCTTGATCGAGCAATTGGAATCCATCTTGTTCGCAGCAAATCACATAGGGGACTCCGGCATGCAAAAATGCTTCTCCTGCCGATCGGGAATGACACGCCGATACAAACACAAATTGCAATTGATGATTGCCCGCTGTAATCCAACTCTGTAAGTGTTCGCCCACGACCAAAATGTGACATCCACCAAAGCCGTCTTCAATAAAGAGTTGCCGAGGACCACCGTGACACGAAAGATGCAGAAATGGAGTGCCTTGTGCCAGAAACGTCGATAGACCATGGGCTGTCGCGATTTCAAAACTCACTCGGACTTTATTACTATTGGCATTGCTGCTATTAGTAGAAGTACTGCCACTGCCTTGCATGACCACCGCATCGCGAATCAAATCTTCTTCTTCGTCCAAATCAATAAACGGAATGGGAATGTTACCGTACGCCAAGGGAGATGCCTGAAATACCTTGAGCTCTAGTGGCTCGTGTCGTTGTGGACTACCACTACCACTACTACTGTTGTCGTGGTCATGGCTGTTGTTGTTGTTGGAGTAGTTCATCGTCTTCTATACACTCTTGTCAACACAAGTACAGTTCTTTCAGGCAGTCAATGAAGGGGATGATGCTTACTTGAGAAGTGACGAGTGAGTGGGGTTCGCCATGTGCAAGTAAGTCAGAACAGGATCTTGAGGTTCTGGCATCGTTGCCGTTTTGTATCTATTCGAATGATCAGACAATTATTCGACGTTCATTCGAATTTTACCCGATTGTACCGGCAGTATATGTAGATCGGGTAACTATAGCGTTCAAGATACTTTTCTAACAATAGACTACGTACATTTATGCCTAGATCAAAGCACATGTATTTTTACCAGATCTACCCAAACTCAAAGATCCTGGATCGACCCCCGCATCTGCTTGGCAGCTGTTTTAGAGCCAGTCCCATGGCATACCGGTACCAGGAGTGGAAGTCTATCCATGCGATCAATTGGGACAATGTATGTGGAACTTTTAAAAAGGCCTCCAGTTTTCTGGTCTCAACATAGTTCTTCCCCCGGACATTTCGCTGTTGACTTCCTTGCCCAGTTTTTTTCTGAATCAAAATAATGATATTAGCGGACCAATCTCATCAATGCCGGGGGGAAGGGGGGTGCTTATTATTGTGCTCTCATTTCGATTGTGCTCTCATTTGGACAGAGTCGAGTCGAGTCGAGTCAAAGGCCACATCCATAGCCTGGGTCACTTACTTGTCGAGCAGCAGCGCGCCTTGAGAACTCACACTCAGCCATGTCCCAGTTACGTTCTGCCTGTTTAGTAGATAGTACTGAAGTTGCCTCCGCAAAGGTGCATGTACGTACTACTTCTAGCTACTAGCACGGTACGGACAGCAAGTTGCCAGCTATCAGAACTACGGAGTTGCACTACTAGCTAGCATTGGCTTCCAATCGACTAAAGTTGTGCTTTTGGTTTGGGAGCTACACACTTCATCCAAAGAATCTACCGGCAGGCCATTCCGCCACTGTAAATGAGACATGCCGACCACCACTACTATTCTTCTGTCAAAGCCATTGGAGGACCATGAGCCACATACAGGCACGCAGGTTACGCGTACCAGCTACAGTTCCGGGATGCAATGGCGATACTACGGGTTAGGTTAGACTACATGGGGAGGATGGGTGGCAGAGGAGGAGGTTACTAATGCAAAGGTAAGGCATCAGCGAGTTAGGAGCTGTCACCCCCGCTATACTGCTTTAATTCTATTCAGTCCTGAAACAGCTTGCTGGGAAGCGGAAGCACTATGGAACACTCCAAACACCCAACTAGCTTCTGTGACTGGGCCTTTTCGATCCGATATTTGTCCGTACCGGTATCAATTGGACATGTACCGATTGCGTATTTCGTTTTGATGCTACTGTAGTACCGTTTTCTGGGACCCACACATTGTACATTCGCAAGAATTCTGCTCTTTTGAGTTTCGGAATTCCTGAAACCAAACCCTATTTCGGATATCACCAGCTTCCCCACAATCCACGAAGCGTGAAGGTCAAGGTCACGAAGTGCAGAAGCGAGTTGGCTTGGATATTGATGAACTGTGATGGACCTCACCGATTCGATTCGATTCAGTGGATGATGGTGTGAGCTTCCCTTCCGTGCCGAATGCCGCAGTACCGCCTCCTCCAAGCAATGAGCAATGATCCAATATCCAATGTTCGTCTCATTTTCTACAGCGACTGACCTGCCAAAGGATTCGATTCGATTCGATTCTTCAAGCTACTAGCCAGCCAGCTACCTTTAGCAGGTAATAGCAAGGACAGCATCAACGCTACGATTGTTTTAGCTACAATGATCAAAGACGCAGCTACATGTAACACTGGACCGGAACGAGGGGAAGTGTTGGTGGAATGGAGAGCTTCTTCCGACACCAAGACTGAGGAAGAAGAAGTCCTTGGTGGCAGCTACCAACGCCGCAGTCGAGAAAGCGGAAGCCGGACGAAACCATCATCAGAAACCTTGCCTCCTCGAACAGTCTCGGCTCCCGCCCCCACCTTGGAGGAAATTCCTGCAAAGAGTAACCCCAACAACAACAACAAAAAATGGAACGAAGCACTCCACGCCAGCTTGGGCAATGTGTGGAGTGGCATTACGGGTGGTGACTCGTTTTCGGATGACAACGAGGAGGAGGACTTGTGGGACCAAAAGGACCGCATTCGCACGGAATACTACCTGCAACAGTACGACAAGTTTCAGTACACACCCGAAGATGTGGCTCGTCTCCTCGTCTCCGACGATGCCGCCTTTCAGAGTCTGCAAAAAGCATTGCGCAAACGCCACGCCGTCACCAATGGGCACCTGACGCAAAACCTACACCTTTACATCAAGAAGGTGAAAGATGTACAAGCGAAAAAGAGATTGCTGTAGTAGAGGAAGAAGAAAGCAACCATGAGAAAACCTCGGGTGGCTAGCTAGTGATGGTGCGTGGTGCCAAGTAGAATACATGAATACATAGTTACTGTTACTGTTAGCGATAGCTATTCAATACATACATAGACCTATACAGAAGGACGCACTGCATGATTGCTCATCTGATCGTTCACAGCTTGTACCGGTAGCGAAATCATATCCATCCCAAGGGCGATCCCACGCTTTGCTTGTGACACCGCCCTCATAAAAATCACCTCTGGATAACCACTACTGGTACTAGACTAGCTAGCTAGCTGGTGTACGTCCGACCTACCACGATACACATTGTCAAGAACTCGACGAGGAGGAGCCAAGTGGATACAAGTTGTCGCTTGTACCGTAGCTACCCGATCTGCCCGCCAGTAGTACAAGGATTGGAGCGAGGTCAAGGTTACCTATTAGTAGTCGTTCCTGCCCCAGGTTTCATACATTTCCTTGCTTGGATGTGTGACAAACCGAGCTATCTGTCTACTAGCTAGCTAGCTATAGTGCTGGCAAGGACAGGAAATCTGCATCTGAGAGTACATGTATGTATTCAAAGAAACACCTGCAGAATGAACTGGGTGTGCATGCCTTCAGTTCCTTGTGGATCTTGTGGTTCCCAGTTCCCAGCCCTGGCTGGTATGCTGGTACGGGTACGACTGTACCACACCAGCACATTGCATTCGTACCAAAAACGAGTTCGTTTCATGTATTATTGTACTAGCTAGCTAGTAGTGCTTGACTCTTGATCGCTTTTACTTCCGAGTGAACCGGTAGTCTACTCTGGAGACCTAGCTACTGGTAGTTTCGTTTCGTTTCGTTTTGGGTATTCCAAAAGATATCTTGCATGTACCAACGCTACCAGGTACTCGAGTACCGTAAATGCCCTTCAATCTACTAGCTAGTACCGTACTTTAAACTTTAACGTCGGAATAATACGTTTTGGAGCAAGAATCCAGGTTCGGACCACGAACTGTGACCGGTTCATTGAGGGTTCTTGGATATAAAAAGAGAAGAGAAACATCAGACTTAGGGCAATAGTTTCGGTATCGAACCAACAAGAACAACAATGACCGAGGCACCTCAGAACCAACATCCACGCCAGGTCCTTCCGGTAGGGCTCACATCACTCTGCCACAGAGTCACAAAGTCAACATTGAACCTTGGCACGGACTCGACTCTTTTGGATTCTCATAAAAACCGAACGACGACAATAGGAAACAACCATAACCAACAATCACAACACAATGGCCATCATTGAGAAACCATCAACTACTAGTACGGCTACAAAAGTCAAAAAGGTCAAGAGGAAAAGCAGTGTCATGAAGAAACAGGGCGAAGTGTTGATGGAATGGAAACGCAATGGTGCGGCGAACAGCACTGCTCTCTTGGCGGCATCCATCAGCAGTCTTGATTGGAGCCATTCCAGTCAAAGCGCAGCCATGGTCAATGCCGAATGTGCTCAGCAGCTCTCTCCTCCTCCCAAAAAGAAGAACAAACTGGAGGAATTCTTGGGTGCCAGCAACTCGTCGGTTCTTCCCATTCTGGAGGGAGTCAAGCACATCAATGAACATGTAGAAACAGGGTTGAAGAATGTATGGAATGGACTGACTGGTGATAATCATCACGGAGATCAGAAGTACAATCCAGACGAGAAATGGGTCTATGATTACTCGGAAGAATACGAGTTGCTTCATTTCACACCGGCAGATGTCGTGGGCATTGTCACAGATGATGCGGCCTTTCAAACGCTCAAGCGATCCTTGCAAAAGCGCAATCACGTCACCAATCTGTACCTGCAGCAAACTCTGCACCACTACGTCAAGCATGTCAAGGATGTCCGCGAACGAAATGCGAAAAGGCTGGAACGAAAGTTGGCTCGGGAACAACAAGCAGCAAGTTATCATCACCAACCCTTGGTGAACCTTCATGATCCACTTCTTCCCAACAGTCAACTCAATGTAGCTGCATAAGAAATAAATGAACGAACTCGATTTTGAACATACATACATCTTCGACACGCAGTCGAACACCACAGAATTACGTTCTGCGTTGATCGATTGATTACTAGTTACGCCTCCGCAGCAAAGCTTGTTTGAAGTTTGAATGCCACCCAGCTTGCAATGCAACCTGTCCGGCTAGCCACACCAAGTCGAGCTATTGATGCCGTGGGCCAGCTCTTAAAAACAGGTGATTCTGCACCCAAGAGCGCAGACGTAGTTTTCTGAGATATCTCTCTCGTGCGTTTTGTAGATTGTGACTTTTTCAGCTCTTGGGTTGGTGAGACTGAAGCCGCCGTTGGTGATTTCGCTGGAGCAAGGACCAGGCACTGTTGGGTTATCCTCTGAAGAGGCAATGAGTGCGTCTAGCTAGACTCGACTCTTCTATGCAATGCATGGCAGGCATCGTCCAGAGGCTTCATCTCTAACTTTGCTTCGTACGAGGTAGTCAGGCTACCATCTTTCTTTACTGTAGCGGTATGTAATAAGCGACGTGAAGCGTCAGAGCAAAGCCAGCTTGCGATCACAGCAACCTTGGGGGAACCGGAGTTGATAGGACGAACCCTCGAGCTTTTCCATCCATGAGCAGTTCCATCAGTCCAGACGCCGCTTTGCGACCCACTGAATCAAAATCAAAGATGAATCTGCCATTCGTGGCTTGGCACATCAACGACATCCACCCTGCCACCTCGTTCCGGCCGGTACGTACGTACCTGGTAGCTTCATGATAAAACGATACAGAGTTTTGGATTGTCATTTGTATACGGTACTACGCAAGCTAAGTAGGGGGGCCAAGCTCAAGTTTTACTTTATGTCACACAGCATGTTCTGTCAATGTGCAGGATAGGGCGATGCATTGAAAAGCGGTTTTGACAAGGACCGGTACTACTATTGTACGGTAATATCCGAGTGTACCGGTATGACTGCGAAGTGCCGTCGAATCGAATGGTAACAAGCCGCTCACAATCCATGCAGCTCGCAAGCATACGGTACCGTACTATATAGTACATGCAGATTGTTGATCGAGGTATCCAGTCAAAAGCACAAGGGACCACTATAGTCGCTTTAGCATCCAATTGGAATAAACGGGGACTCGGTTTTGACGCTGAACTGGATTGATTCGATAAAAGGGGATAACCCAAGAAAATGCGCTCAAAAGCGTCCACTCTTTCTTTTGTCGCATTCTGAATCACCGCTTACGTCTCCCCTGGTCGATTTTGAATCTCAGCTTTTGAGGGATCATCGAGCAGATCAACGGAACGGTCTTGACCCACACACCCTCGCACTGGATATTTCCTCGAACTTACCGAATCGAATGTTGTTGATTTATTTCCAAGCGTCACGAAGGCGGCCCACATTTCCACAGGGTAGGTCGCATCCGACCCAACACGGCAATGCAATCCCTCCCAGTAGCTCGCACCTTCGCCGACGTTTCATTTTGAAAATCAACACGATTGACCAAAGACGACGAGGCACATCAGATCAGATCAGATCAATTCAATTCTAAATTTTTGAAACCATGGCGAACGTTTCTGATGTTTGATTTTCAAAATGAATGAAAATGAAACGACCGCAAATGAAACGACATAGCAAAACCAAGCTCTTTCTCTCTTCACTCAGCACAACAACAACAACACAACACAACAACAACTTCTGTCTTCTTCAAAGACATGCATGACGATGACACCTTTGCCGGTGCTGCTTGCAGGAGAGTGACTGGGCTCCCACTCTGTGTGGGGTCCACTTGGCACTCTTCGCCGGCAATGGTGTTGTCTTGCGGTGGTTCCAGTGGGTTGGTTCGTCCTCGTGCAAGGGTAAGTCGATGTGTCCTGTCTTTTGTGCCATTGCTACTTTCACGGTCATCGACCGTTGCCGCCTTATCCCCTTTAGTTCCCAACATAGGTCTGATCCATGTTGACAATGGTGGTTCGTCCTCGTGCAAGGCAACGGTCGGTTCATCAACAACAAACAGGTACGGTCCGCTAGCGAACGGCATGCATGCATGACATTAGTAGTTCTTTGCTCGAGAGAGCCAACATAAACGTCGTTGGAAGTGGGGGGTGGCAGACACTCTTAGAAGACTGTTGTTCCCCACTTCGCTGAACCAAAGTGTCATGCATGCATGCATGCTGTCTTGCTTTGCTTTGCTACCGTATCAGCTCAAGTCTAACCTCTTTCTTGTTCCATTCTGCTTTTTCATTATTAGGCAACAGCAAGTCCTTTACTTTCTTTGGTGGTCCTGGTCGTCAACGTCTGTCTCCTCCTTCCTCTCCGAGACATGCATGCATGACGATGACCTGATGACGACCTGCCGGTCTTCCTTTGAGCTGCTTCGAGCCTTTGGGTGGTGTCGTCTTTGCGGTGGTTCCGATGCACATTCGGACATTATTGCCGTTGGTTTTCCCGAGCGTCAGCAAACTCCCAGCCATCGACTTAACGGAATATCCAAAAGACTTAACAGGACTCTACCAACCTTCCAACGGTCAAGTGCACCCCCCCTGGACTTAACGGAACTACCAAACGACTTAGAGTACACTTCGAAGCCTCATCCTTCACCTCGACCTCAACCGGATTCCGACGCTGCAGTCTCCCGTCATCGATCGTCATGCAAGCTTCCTTGGATTATCCAAAAGACTTAACAGGATTACCCGTACACCAACCCTCAACCTCGACCAACACGAACCTTCATCCAAGCGTGGAACGTTGAACGTGGAACAGTCAGAGTCATCCATGGTGATCCACCCGTAGTAAATAGAATAGATGCATAGTTGGGTAGGGTGGGCTGTTGGCCAAGTGCCAGCATTGCTGCCACACCCTGCCCTGGCTTTCGTACTGTAGCTTCGTTCCTTTCACTGATTGCATTGCTACAACACATTTTAGTCTCACCCTTGCTTTTTTTGGTTTGCCTTCTACGCGGTAGGCGGTTGCCAGCAGTTAACTGATCCAGCTGCAGGTTACCCGATCCCATTTCTGTTCTGCTCCTTCTTGTAAATCTCGACGGAGGCTCTTGGCAAGACGGCACAGCGTAGCGAAGGATGGCAAGTAGCTAGCAGCATGATACGGTGCCATGGTTGGTTGATTGGCTGACCCAAGCGCTGCCTGCTATCCTTATTGGTACAGTTAGCTAGCTAGCCCTGCAACAGCAATTGGAATTGACACAACAGTTGGGCACTGGAGTTCTCACAACGTCCTGCCCTAGTAGCACTGGAATGCCCCACAAGAGTTGAGGAGTTCCTTTGACAGCTGGCCCCAGCCTGCCCCAGCCTGCCCCGAGCACTTGCAATCCTCACAAATGCCGATGTTGCCTCTATGCACACCAGATTGGCTGGTTCCTTGTTGTGGCTGAATCGAATCATGGCGTGGTGCGTGCGATCATCGACGATCGACCGCTCATGCCATCCTCACCAGTGAACGATCCAGTCTCCCGTCGGTGTCGTCTTCATAGAAGCTGCCTCTGTTGTACAATTGTATCGCTTTGCTTTACGAGGACGAGGACGAGGACGAGGACACGACGTTGTGGCTAAGCATGGCTGCCCAAGCAGCCTAGAAGGCTCATTGGTCAACAGCCTTCACATCCCAGCAGAGTTGACTTAGAAAGTTCGGCAAATGTGAGACTGAGTGTGCTTTTACTTTAAAAAACTATCTGTTGACTAAAGCAACATGTAACTTGACTTCATCTTTTAAAAACAACATCTTCTTCATAACACTGCTACTTCTTCTTGGAATTCAGCTGACTAACAAGGAACATTAGCCCAACTTTGCATAGGTTCACCAAATAAATGGCATGAGAGGCCCTTCATTTTCTGCACTGCCCCATTGCTGCAACGACTTCCACCCATTTTCCATTACCCCATTAATTTTGTACGTTATTTCAAATAGACTAGTAGCCACATGTACGCATCGCGGCGCGAATGATGGATCAGGAAACTGCATGCAGTACGCATACATAGAGAAATTTCAGGGGAACATCAGCATGAAGTGAACGCCAGCCTCCCTGCAAAATTTTATCCTCCATAGCTTAGTTGGCCATTCCATCGAGGAGCTCCCTGCCTCCCGGAAAGATTCCCTTTTTAATTAATCATCAGGGAAACGGAGGAGGAATTATGGGAAGGGAATTACTAGAACGGTAATACCTTCCGTGGGCTCATACTGAGTCCCGACGCCTGACTGCCATAGTCACGCTCATGGTTGAGTAATGCTTCGAGGAGTTGGGGAAAGAGTGGAGAAATGGAGGAATGGCCAACTAGCTAGCTAGACTACTAGTATTGAGCTCGGTGGTACTACCGAAGGCTCCTCCTCGAACGAAACTTCAACCATGATCCTCTAAAACATTAGGCGGTGCCACAGCTGCAGCGTTGTGCCCTACTTCAGGTGTTTCACTTCCCATGGCAACACCTTGCTTGACAACGAGCAGCAGTGCACTGGGAAGACACTTGTAAGGGCCAGACGCCAATGTGTCAATAAAAGGCTGAAGGAACGGTCATGCCTCCTTGAGAGGTGGCACCAATTGTGCAGCTCCAAATCATGGACCGGCCATTTTGGCAGTGGAGTACTGTGATAGAGTCAACAATGAGTTCAGCTCGACTCTCATTTGGGTCGACGGGTCGATTTGCTTTGGAGGCAAAGCTTGCACTGTTGCAATAAATCTGTACGGAGGAACTTGGCGGGAGGCCGACGCGCAGCATGGTACCAGTTGCCATGATTGGCCCAAGCATTGCTATGCATAAAGCTAGCTAGCCCATTTGTTGTTGCAGATGGGTACTTTTGTCGTTGGTTTTGTTGGTTTGCTTTTGGTTTTCCAAAATATTGTGATGTGTATGTGTGTTTCTCCGCCCACAGCTCGCGCCCTGCATGCAAGGAAGCAAGCTGTCAACGGCGACGCGAATGCCTGGATGACCACGCATCCAGGCTGCATGGAGGGAGCATGGAGTACTGTGTGAATGCGGAGTACATGTATGTAGTCATGTAATGGACTAGCTAGTACTGTACAGTACAAGCAACCTTTGCTGCGAAATTTTTCTCCTCAGTGGTATTACCGTACCAATTACTCCTAAGCGGACGTAGAGTACGGTACGACCTTACGGAGTAGACTACAGGTATAAAGTCGGTTTTGGTCCATCGCTTTGAGACATCAGCGGTACTATAGCAAAAACAGTACAATATCGGAAACCTTCTGTCTCACTCTCTATTTTCTGAGTTAACGGGACTCAATAATGGACCCAAATATTTAACTATCTCACAAAAAGTATAACGAAAATGAAATACACGTTTAACATAGGGTATGTGATGTTAAATCATGTGGTCAGTATGGGAAACATGCTATGAGTCAATGGTACTTGAGGTCGATTTCGTATTAATCTACTTATTGGTCAATCGGACATTGAGACAGTCATTTGCTTATAGACGGTTTTGGTCCATTTTTGGGCTGTAGCGCTGGTACACTTTCTACGTGTCTCACCCACTTCCTTTATTAAACTCGTATTTGATTATTGCTCGCCAGCTCGACTCCCACCTTATAAATAAAATTGTCGACAAAATAAAGTAATTACGAGGAAAGATACAGGTCGACAATGTTCAAGGCAAAAATCTACCTAGTACCGGTAGGTACCAGGTACCGGTACTATTATTGGTACAGTAAAAGTACCGGTGCCATGCACCCCAAGCTGTGACTGTCCCTGCCCTAGCCAGCCAGATCTGACTCGACTCGACTCGACCCGACTCGAAACGACTGAGCTCGACTCGACTGGACTCGACTGTCACTCAAAACAGCTCTCAGAATTCTTGCACTCCGTGCACCATGCGATGCATGTGAAAGCCACGCAAATGAAAATGACAACAATGATGTTTCTATTAATACGCCGTCTATGGCTTTCATCTCTTGGTCTGGTGGCTGCCATCAGCTTGATGACACCATGCTACGCCTGGGCCATGGAGAATGTTTCCATTGGCTATCAGACGAACCTTGCCGCGGTTGCCCATTATAGTGAGTTCTTTTTCTTTTCTTGCCATTCATTCATGTCTTTATTATCGACAATGCAAGTCTGAGTTATCCTCATGGACTTTCTTTGTTTGGTACTGTACCGTATGCTAGTGGCCGTGGAGAGACGGTACTACCAAGATTTGGGCCTCAATGTGGAAATGGTCTTGGTGAGTTATTATTGAAGTATTGAAGGCATCTATGTATGTGGTATTGTAAAGATATCGCGTCGAGGAGTGAAGAGTTGTACAAAGCAAAACCTGATTCGATTCTGTACGTGTGTCATATCGTAGTATCCCTCTGGAGATGACCTGATCAACGATGTCAATACCAGTTGGGATTTCGCGACTGCTGATGTCATATACAACATCTTTGGGTAAGAATACAATCTGGTTTAGGCAAATGAGCATACGGTACTTCTATTTTATGGCTTCTTGGGGGCGTGATCTTATCTTTCTGGTCTTGTCTTGTATTCATTAATCAAACCAACCAAAGTGGACAACAGGGTCTCCTCAATGTGGCCATTGCCATGGACGTGAGTGCCACTACGCAATTGGTGGGCAACGATCGGGGTACTCAAATATGGCCTACCTTGGAGGAGCAGGACGATGACATTTGTACCATTCCTGATTCCGTCTTGCAATACGTCCTTGAAGCCTGTTTGCAGGCACAAGGCATTGATACTGCCGAACAATTCACCTACCGAACCGACGAATCCGACTGTTATCAACTCATGACACCCGGCCACTTGTCGGGTGTAGCCGCCGTCAATCTAGGAACGCTCTCGTCGCCCTATTTCATGGCCTTTTTGGAATCCTTTCCGGGATCGTCGACTCTCTGTTCCGGGACGTTGGTCAATGCCACCGTCACGCATGGACACATGGTACGACACGAGACGATCCATCCGTGGACGGTGGCCAAGATTTTGGCGGGATGGTTGCGGGCCGTCGAATTTATGGTGGACGACGAGACGAGGCAGGAAACCATCAATTTCATGGCGGACTTTTACGAGAATCATGGATTGGAGTTGTCTCCCTCGTCGTTGGAACTGGAACGAGAATTGATTGGATTGTTTGGACTTACGCAACAACTCGAACTCATGAAAGAAGGACATGGAGGAGGCCCCTCCGAGTATGAAGTTTGGACCCACGAGGTGGTTAGTTTCCTGCTGGATAAGTCATTGCTATCCAATGACAACAATACGCTCGTACGACCCGCGACTTTTATGGACGACCAATACCTCCAGTTGGTTCAATCCAACGAAATCTTGCGGCTTTATGCCACGGGAGAAGATGTGTCACCGGACCAACTCGCTCAACTACTTCAAGATGATGCTGCCGCGTGCGTGGATATCGATGGTTGGACCGATTCGGTAGGAGATGGTTGTGACTTTTACGATTCCGAGAATGCCTGTAGGGAAGCAGGGGATTCCTTTCCTGGACCTGACGGATTGACGGCCAATGGTGCCTGCTGTCGTTGTGGTGGTGGCGGTGGGTCGTCGTTGGATTCTTGTACGGATTATCCGGGTTGGTTGGACTCTCGTGGCAATGCTTGTGATTGGTATAAATCCGACAACCTCTGTGCGCTCAATGGAGACTTGGAGGCCTTTGCAGCCCCGGATGGAACTACCCCCAGTGAAGCCTGCTGCATATGTGGTGGAGGAACAAGAGGGGATACGGCCGTACAAGCAGCCGGAACAACGGCGTCCAAACACGGGCTTCCTGGTGGACTGCAATTGGGTGGAGGACCGTAGTTCCCGAACTCTCCCAGGAGCCTGGGCAATACGCCATTCATTTCTTTAGTAGGTTTGGATGTCCAAACCTAGCATTCTTGGCTTTCTTGTAAGCCGCAGTTAGCAAAATTTGTGTACATCGCGTTGTCGGCAGAGGCTCGAGAATCGTCCAGAGCGGATCTACCGAGGGGCGGACTAATGTTTGGATGCAGATTCAATCTACAATTTTAGCAGCTTCCATGAGTTTGGAAACCTCAGGAAAGAGCCGCAAGGAGATGCAACTGGGAACACTGCTATAAGCGGCGATATCGTCGCAGAATTGTAGCCTTTCGTCGACCATTGGTATAGCTAGCTAGCTACTCTCGAACACATGTAGACTATTTCAACACTCGTGTTCTTGTCCAACTCTCTATGATAATCAATCGATGATAGACTAGTCTAGAGCCAAGACTGAAACAGGCATCAAGAAGCCGACATACAGTGTGTTCGCGATTATATTTATAAACGTATATTTATATTCTCCAGTATATTTATGGAATTTCGATGTTCCCCCCTGAGTCACGAGTGACCGTGACTGACGTCAGTACATGTGTACGTACCCTTCGCAAATCTCGTAGCAGCAAAACAATGGCTCGCAATCCATTCCAAACACTCCAAATCGATCGACGTACGTGTAAATGCCAATGCATGTCGATAGAGGTGCTGATGGAGGTCTGATAGAGTGCCGCACCTCCGCTTGCCTGTCGATTCTCTGCCAATCTGCGCAAATCTTCGTACCAGTGGTTTTTCATGGTGTTTTCGCGAGATTTGCGCAGAATGGCACAGAGGAGACAAAAACAATTCTCTGAGCAACAAAACAATTTCAAGCAAACCATACCAATCCCTCCAATCCGACCTAGACCAACATGAACGGTGCCGATTCAACCGCAACGAAGAAAGGAGCGAAGAGAGGACCGAAAGCAGGTTCAAAGAACGAAACCAGCAAAAAGATGAGAGGCGACTGGGCTAAGGCATGCCACTCCTTTCGTACAGACTTCAGTTCAATGTCAGCCAAGGCTTTCTTGGAATCGTCTGCATCTGGTCCAAAGTTCTCTGCGACACAGTCGGAACGGCAAAGCTTCAGTCAGTACCTAAAGCAATACGACAACAAGACCTTGGCTGTCACCGACAGCTCCAAGCGAACTGTACCGCCAAAGTTTCCGGAGGTGGAGAAGAAACTCGTTGCCTATTTGGATCTGCGGGAACAGCAATCTCAGAAGGACCATTGTGGTCTGTCGTACATCACGATGAGAGGGAAGGCACTCGGCTATGCCAAGCAGCTAGGCATACCGGAAGAAGAATTCACTGCCTCTAATGGTTGGATTTCGAATGTCCTCGAACGCAATGGTAGAGTTGGAATCAATCTGCATGGAGAGGCTGGTGATATTGACGAAGCTACGAAGCAGGCAATTATGAAGGAGTGGAGGCAGACCAAATTCCATCCTCTCATAGAGAAATACGCTTTCTCGCCTAGTTGCATCTACAATGCAGACCAAACTGGTCTCTACTACCAGAAAATCCCCAACCGCATCTACGTTAAAAAGGACAACGCTAAAGACTTTGCAGGGGCGAAGCAAATGAAAGACAAGACGAGAATCACATTGATGGTGTGCACTTCCGAAGGTCCCACTCTCCCTGGTTGGCAAAGCCAAAGCGCCAATATGTTTCAGGTTGTGTGAGAATGGCAAACCACCAATGGCCTACACCAACCAAAGCAATGCGTGGTTCACAAAGGAGGTGACATTGTGGTGGCTGCAAACTGTGTTCATTCCTCACCATGTGAAACTGTGGGGCCATACAGATTGTATCCTTCTGTTGGACAACTGCAGTGCTCACAAGCTGGACAACTGGGATGTCGTACCTTCTTGGGTCCACATCTTGTTCCTTCCACCCAACATGATCAACACATTTCAACCAGCTGATATGGGAATGATTGCAGCCCTTAAAGTGGGCTACAAATGTATCATGCTCTCTACTTTGCTTGATCTCTTTGACGTTGAAGGAGGCTACGAAGCCTGTGCGAAGCAGCGACTCAAAACTAGGAAAGGATGCCGTGGCTTGGCGTTGGAGGCAAGGCGCATGTGCTTGATGCCATGAACATCTTGAATCGCATTTGGAATAAAGATGGCCGATATGCAAGAGAGGATGGCATTAGACGCTGCTGGAGGAAGGCAGGTATCCTTCCCATTGGCATGGAAACAGACATCCATGCCGACCTTGGATCAAGGTCGATCCCATTGAAGGATAAGGTAATGAGCAAGCAGGATTCGGATGACTTGTGTAACCTCATGAGTTCTCTCCAGGTCAAAGCAAAAGAAACACAGGTGGATGTTGCAAGGCATGCGATTGCGTTGCAAGGATCCTTTGCGGCTGATCATGACAAGTACTCTGCGGAAGATGTGCTGACAATGGCGGAGAACTGGGTTGATATTGAAGACCAGCCTGAGGTCATCAGTGCAACCGTTGACGATGAGATTGAAGAGCTAGAGACGACAACAACTGAAGCAGAACTGGCTGTGCTTGATGACGACGAGCCAGAACCGACGGATGAAGATCCCCAACCGGACGATCTGTTTGCCTCCATTGCAGAAGCCGAAGAGGCACTCAACAAGCTCTCACTCAGTGCCTCCAGTTTGGGTGTGAACCGGCTGCCACCGTTCATCTTGACAGGTTTGCAAGGGCATTGAATATGGCTAGGGGAGCAAAGGCTGCCAAACAAAAACGTGACGGCACTCTCCACGCGTACTTTACTAGTAAATAGAGCCTATATTTATATTCTCTAGTATATTTATAGGAATCCGTATTACCCCCATATAAATATAGTCAAGAACTGACTGTACTGGTACCCCGAAACACGGCTGAACACGGCCTGCAGGCTCTTGAGATCTTCTTGACGTCAGCTTGGAGTTGGATCTTTTTTTGCTCTTCCATGAACATCATCGAAGATGCAACGCCAAGCTTGGGTTTGGAAACATCATCGATCGATGCAAAGGCAAGCACCACCCTTTAGTAAAATGTCTGGCCTCCAAGATCCAAAGATCGGGTGCATGGCAATTGGAAGATTTGCGGAGAATTTTAGCCCAGAAAGCCTCATAAAACAACAGTCTCAACCAATAATCATACTTCTCTACCAACTTACTACCAGTACTGCTTTTAAAACACCACCATGGAAAACCTTGCCATTGAGACAGTTTGGTACAATGACTTCAAAAAGGAATTGCCCAGTGCTGAAGGCAAAGTGTTTGTCATCACAGGCACCACCTCTGGCACAGGATACGTTGCCGCCCGCACTGCTGCTGAAAAGGGAGGTGAGGTTCTTCTATTGAATCGAAGCTCTGACCGTGCCACCAAGTCTTTGGCCAAATTGAAGGAAGAAGTCCCCGATGGCAAGTTTGTGCCCATTGAATGTGACCTCCAGAGTTTTGAGAGTGCCCGGAAGGCTGCAGCGGAAATCAAGAGCAAATACACTTCTCTTTATTGTGTCTGCTGGAATGCTGGCATCATGGGCACGCCAGATCAAGCCACGGTGGATGGATATGACACTCAAATGCAAACCAATCATCTTTCCCATTTTCTTCTGACCGCAGAGCTGTTGCCACTGCTAGAAAAACAAGGGGGGGATGCTCGCATTGTCAATCATTCCAGTGGTGGTCGTCACATGACGCCCAACAAGTGCCTGGAACGCAAGTATTTTGAGAAAAATGGTGGCAATTTGGGTGGATCTGAAGTGGAATTAGGAAAGATTTCTGGACCCCCCTTCCTGAGGTACTTTCAAACCAAGTTGGCCAATGCTGTCTTCACCAAAGCGCTCCATGAAAAACTGCAAGCCAAAAAGAGCCCAATTCTGGCAATTTGTGCGGATCCTGGCTTTTCTGCCACTGACCTGACCAACCATTTTGGTGGTGGTGGCGATGACTTTCTGAAAGGACATGGTAAGTAAGGTTTAATGGGATGCAGCTGGGGAAGGTGCTGAGCAATTGATCAACTCACAAACAAATTTTTCTGTCTCGAATAATTTTCTGCGCAGCCGAAAGGGTGCAAACTCCTGAAGACGGAGCGATGGGCATTCTCAAGGGAATGATGGATCCCGATGTTCAATCGGGGGTCCATTATGGGCCTGCCGGAAGCAAGGGACCTGCTGTTATCAACCCGGAAAGGCCATATGAAGTGGACCCCGAAGGAATCAAGATGCTCTGGGAAACCAGTCAAGCTGCCACTGGGGTTGTCTTTGAGATTTGATTGAAATGACAATTATCTATGATATTTATGGTTGCAGAAAGGGTTGGATGTGTTGAGTCGGCAACAGCCGATCGATGGGTTTCGTTGACTTGACTCTTTGGTTCGGGAGATGAAGCTGGATCCTCTAATTCACAGTTTTGACCAGATAAGACTACTAGTATTAAATAAGTGACGTGCCGTTGATAGCCTGCACCCGGACACAGCCAGCCATTCCAAATTCCAATGCTTTGGGTCGTAGATTAGATTGCTCCAGTACAGGCAGCTTCGGTTTTAAAGATTCAAACGCGTGCCAGGTTTTCTCGTACACTTCTACGAGAGCTCGAGTAGATGTGTACCATGGAGGTCGGCACGCGTTTGCATCAATAAAATCGAAGCTGCTCGTATACCCACCCCAGGCAGGTGCGTTGAGGACCAGAAAATCTGCAGCAGAACTCCACGCACTCCTTGTAGTCACAATTAAGGCACCGTAGCTGGAACAATTCAACACCAAACCACTACAACAGTATGAAATGGCCGTCGTGGTAATGTTCATCTTGATCTTCCGATGACGCAGTCGAGTCGCTGGATGGAGTCTTCTTTCTTTTCTTGGTGGATATTTTGGAAGGACTCACAGAGGATGAATCTTGGACCAGCAATTTCTTAATCTCCAACTTGAAATAATCACCCTCACCTGTGGCTTGGCTCCCAATCTGAAGCAAACAACCATTATCTGGCGGGTCATCCCGCCTGCCAATGTGATCATCTTCAAACTCTGGCATATCAAAAGTACCATAGGCAACAGTATCAACACTCCCAGCAATTGCTGCTGCAATCCCCTTGCCGGCAAATACCCCAACAATCGACTGCTCTTGTTGAGGGCGATTGGAGTGCTCCACAGAAATCAACGACAAGATGTAGACGTTCTTTTCACTACTAGCATTGCTGCGTTTGCGTAGAGCTGAATTAGCATTTGCTGCTCGAGCCGTAGTGTCGCAAATGTGATTCCTTTAGGTTGGAAATCCGTGCATTCTTGGTTTTCTTGTGAGCCACAGTGGCAAAATTTGTGGGGGGGAGATCGCGTTGTCGACAGCTAGTGCCTTGCTACAGAGGGGTGGACTCACGTTTGCTTGGATGCAGATTCAATAACTTTATAAACCTCAGGAAAGCAAGGCCCGCAATCAGCTGCAACTGGGAACACCGTCAGAAGTCAAGATTAGCGTCGCAGGAGAGTATAACATTTGACTGCGCTGCCTGGGCTCGAATATATGAATGCACCCAATTGGTACTTTCGCGACCATGGTACCATCGGTAATATCCATGGACACCTCCAACTCCCGAGTTTCCCAGCTCGTCCGTCCACAAATAATAATAAAATGTTTGAAAGACTTTGTTTAGTGGATTGTGCTAGCTAGTAGGCAAATAGGGTCAGATCTTTGGTCTCAGCGCGTCACAGCTGGGGTTGGATTTGTTCTGCTCCTCCATGAACATCATCGAAGATGCAAGGCCACGCACCCGTTGCTTGGGCTTGCTCTTCTATGAACATCATCGAAGAGGCAAGGCCAAGCACCACCCTTAAAAAGCCCCTCCAAGACCCAAGATCGGGTCCAACTTGATGCAACCATGATGAAAGATCCTTGGAGAGAGATGGCACCTTTGAGAGTCCCATAAAAACAACAGTCTCAACCAATAATCTCACTTCTCTACCAACTTACCACTATTTTAAGACAGAGCCATGGAAAACCTTGCCGTCGCAACCATTTGGTACAATGACTTCAAGAAGGAATTGCCTAGTGCTGAAGGCAAAGTGTTTGCCATCACAGGCACCACCTCCGGAACAGGATACGTTGCCGCTCGCACTGTTGCTGAAAAGGGAGGTGCAGTCCTTCTATTGAATCGCAGCTCTGACCGTGCCAACAAGTCCTTGGCTAAGTTGAAGGAAGAAGTCCCCAATGGCAAGTTTGTGCCCATCGAATGTGACCTCCAGAGTTTTGAGAGTGTCCGAAAGGCTGCAGCAGAAATCAAGAGCAAATACACTACTCTTTACTGTGTCTGCTGGAATGCAGGCATCATGGCCACACCGGATCAAGCCACGGTGGATGGATATGACACTCAAATGCAAACCAATCATCTTTCCCATTTTCTTCTGACCGCGGAGCTGTTGCCTCTGCTAGAAAAACAAGGGGGGGATGCTCGCATTGTCAATCATTCCAGTGGTGGTCGTCACATGACGCCCAACAAGTGCCTGGAACGCAAGTATTTGGAGAAAAATGGTGGCAATTTGGGTGGATCCGAAATGGATGTTGGAAAGTTTTCGGGGGCTCCTTTCTTGAGGTACTTTCAAACCAAGTTGGCCAATGCCGTCTTCACCAAAGCACTCCATCAAAAACTGCAAGCCAAAAAGAGCCCAATTCTGGCCATTTGTGCTGATCCTGGCATGTCTGCCACCAGCCTGGCCAACCATGTTGATGGTGCCGAAGATATGATGAAAGGTTTTGGTACGTATGGTGTGGTGGGTTAAAGCCTTTTGGGATGTACTGACCGTGCAATCAACTCACAACAATTTTTCTGTCTCGCTGCAGCCGAAAGGGTGCAAACTCCTGAAGACGGAGCGATGGGCATTCTCAAGGGAATGATGGATCCCGATGTTCAATCGGGGGTCCATTATGGACCTGCTGGGACAAAGGGACCTGCTGTCATCAACGAGGAAAAGCCATATGAAGTGGATCCGGAAGGAATCAAGATGCTCTGGGAAACCAGTCAAGCTGCCACTGGCATTTCCTTTGAGATTTGAGCGAAACAACAATCATCAACATATTCATGGTGGCAGAAAGAGGTGGATTTTGTTGAGTCAGCAACAGCTGATTTGATGGGTTTCGTTGACGAGGTTCTTTGGTTCGAGAGATGAAAGCTAGAGCCACTAATTCACATTTCACCAGATAGGACTACTAGTACTAATTAAGTAGAATGCCCTTGATAGCCAGAAGCCGGACAAAGCCAGCTATTGCAATACTTTGTGTTGGAGATTGATAGCCCCAGTAGCAGCGAATTGTCCAAGTCGAAGGAGTGTTGTCTTTCTCGAAAACCAGCTGGAACCGTAACCAAGCAACGTGGTTGTGTTGTTTGTTTTGGTGGAGAACCTGGCGAACCGTAGCCCCTGTAACGTACCGGTACGTACTCTTCAATGCTACTGTGCTGCTATTTCCGTCGGATAAAGAGCTGCCGAAAAGATCCGAACAACGGCACTTGTTCCCTCGCAACTCCCAGCTTCCATGGTTGGTGTTGTCGCAAGGCAGTGGCATTAATTTGACCCAGCAGGGATTTTCCTTTCTTGCGACCCCAACCCACCACACGCCCATTCTTCCTTCAAATGCCCACACCTCGTCAAGCTTGCTTGTCATGCATCAATGGGCAAAAAAAAAAAAGAGATTTCTTCATCAGAGGACTGTAATGTCTCCCTCCAA